TGCCGCCCGACGCGATGGATCGAAATATTTCTCGTTTGTGGATCATGTGTGACGCAAATACGCTTCGTATTACATACACATGTATACCTATGTGTGTACTCACACGCGAGTCTCGCTTTTTATTTTTCATCATTTTTTACCCCGTTGGACCGGTGACTCGAGCTTTTTCAGAATATATATACGTATTTTGTATTGGTGCGTTCTGCAAACCTACACTGAGTAATATTCATTCTGATTCGCTAAACTTGAAATTAGGTCACTGGGAATGAAGCACGAAAGCAATATATTTTCCCTGAAAGTTTTTACCAAATACCTACTATTGTTATTTTTATAGTAGATAAAAAAAAAAAAAAAAAAAAAAAAAAAAAAAAAAAAAAAAAAAGCTCGGTCGCGAATGGGCTCCCCTCGTCGTCGCTGCTCCACGTATTAAAATTAAAAAAAAAGGCTTTGTTGCATTAATTCGGGTGTCTCGATTTTCGCAAGGTGTTGATGAAAAAAAATTCACTCGTCAATACGCTGCACTCGCATGGAAACAAGCTAAGACACGGATTACCTTCGTTGTATATACCCAAGATGCCTATACAGTCGTGAAGAGAACAAGAGAGGAAAAACAACGTGACACTATACGTATATATATATATATCATGGAGGGGAAAGCTCGTCGTCATCAAGGCTGCCTAGAGCTTATTTATAAAACGGGTCTCGAGAGAAGCAGAGAACACACACACACTCTGAGAAAAGAAAAAAAAAAAAAAAAAAAAAAAAAAAAAAAAAAAAAAAAAANAAAAAAAAAAAAAAAAAAAAAAAAAAAAAAAAAAAAAAAAAAAAAAAAAAAAAAGTAGACATGCATAAAAAAGCAGATCTTTTCGAAAAATTGTTTTTGTCGTTCGCGTGCTTATATAAAAATCTATGTTTGCTCTCGTCCTTTATACATAAATTTTTTTGTGAAATTCAAGTTCTCTCGCTCGTAGTGGTTTAATAAATGTAATGAAAACTTTTATTGTCAAAATTTCACATATTTTGCTCGAAAGCTCGCGCCTCGTTTTGAGTTGTTGAGACACGATAACTGCTGCGCTTTCGCGTCAATTAACTGGAAATATCAAGCCGCTGTACTACTGATGTGCCGGGGATGAATTTTTATTAACAGGTAACTCCCTCCTTTTGTGTAGGGGTTTTTCTATGGCATCTAGTTCCTGAACTCCCTATATTAGTCTTTGAGCTTGTATTTTCTCCCTCCCCGTTGCGGTGTAATTTTTTTACAGTTCGACGCGTGCTGCTATATAAGATAAAAGATATTTTAACACTGATCCATTTATAGAGCATACAGGTATGTGAGGGTAAGAAAAGTACAAACGATGTTTTTAACAAACGTTATTTTTATTTTTTTTTTTATCCACGTTTTTTCCCCCATTTACAAATTATTTGTATAAAAAGTACGGTGCTCTCGCGCTACTTTCAACACACGTATCGAATGAGTAAGTACGTTATTTTAGGCTCCCATTTTTCCCGATCGTATGCACTTCAGGGGAGGTATTGAAATCCAGATGTGCGGTTATTTAAAAAAAAGAAAAAAAGAGCTTTTTTTTCTTTGTCGTTGGGATAGAAAAAGCACAGATATTACGCGAGATGACAAGTGTGGTGTACCCTATTAACATTTTACTCTATGGTTATATTACATACGTGTAGCAGAATTGCTTAAAACGAACCAGGAGTTGTCCCAAAAAGAAAATTTAAAACATGGTGTACGTGTTGCTGCAAGGTTGAAATTTTTTTTTTAAATCAAAAAAATTCTAGGAAAGATGTACTTACAAAAATACATTACAATCTTATTTGATATTGCGTTAAAAAGAATCAGCAGGTATCGCGATGTGTTTGCCAGTCGCCTTCTTTTCAAACTCATTTGAATTCAACGCCATACTAAAACAACAGATTTGTGCATATAATTGAACACAGCTACGTGGAGAGGGATATGTATACAATTTACTTGAAAAATTCCCAGAAACGTCGATGTATGAGTCATCCCCTTTTCTCGAGCCCCCCTCTGTCGAATAAAGAAATTAATAACTCCCGTTGTTGGCCAATCGAAAATTCGCAGCCTCTTGCAGTGACGTCAACCGGAGCGATGAGAGAGATACGACGTACGTCACGCCTTTGGTGCCTCCCCTCCTTCCCCCTGTTCACCCTCGCGCGCGGAAAATTAATTGGATCCGAAATCCGGTGATTTATGTGTGCCACTGTTGCGTTTGAAAGTTTTTCGCCTTTTCCAAAAAAAAAAAGTTTTTGGGGTGGCGGTGGGGGTAGCTAAAAACGCCCCTTTTACAGTAGTTATAGTATGCATTTTCCACTTTTGGATCCGCGTGTCCCGCCCACGCTCATTTTATTTTGATACACAACAGTACTTGCGTAATCACTTGCAGGAACAACGCACCTTGTGGGTTTTTTTTTCCCCCTCTCCATTGTCAACACTTGATGTTATCGATATCAGAAAAACTTTGATGGTAATTACAATTATTAAATTCCCATCGATCGATGGTAAAATAAGCGACGCAAACGACGCGTGTTTGGTGCTCTATATACGTCACGACATTAGGATCGAGCTTGTGATGTATACATACGTTAGCTTGGGCTCGTCACGTTCGATTAAAACAGCAGCGAGTCAGTATAAGTATTACCATTATCCGTTTTTGTTTTCTCTCCTGATGAACCATCAATATCGTTTACCCAACATCTTTTTCCTTGAATACACGTTATTCCTTATCGACTTGAACTTGAAACTTGAATCATCCCTCCCGAGATTGTATATTACACTTTGCCAAAGTTGCTTCTGCATTTATTATACTAATGATTAATATTAGGTATGCATATAATCATAATGCATATATTAAATTACTTGAAGCTTGAATGGCGAAACGAAACGACACGCGACGATTAAAACTTGTCGTAAGTAGACATGTGGTATCATACGTAGGTACGTATGAACAAATAACCCCCCCCCCCATCGGGCGTTTCCATGATGCGAGGATAAAGAGTAAATGAAATTTTTAAATTTGCTTTCCCTCGTGACTAATGAATATTGTTGTACCATCTGTAAGGGTGCCTATACATGGAAGACCTGCTGTTTGGCAACTGCCAGTCAAAGCTCTCTGGTCTCATGAGAGTGAGAGAGAGAGGTTCATCACGTGACCACATTTAACCTCTCTCTCACTCTCATGAGACCAGAGAGCTTTGACTGGCAGTTGCCAAACAGCAGGTCTTCCATGTACAGGCATCCTAATTTACGCACTCCCTCCTCCCTTCTTCTAACCCGCCTATTGTGTGTCGTGGATTGTTCACCGATGCCCTTCGATGACGATACAATACGTGTAAAAAAAAAAGTGACAAAAAAGGACAATAGTGCCTGTTTGATTGGCGTTGGCTCGGAAAGAACGAAACCTCACGATATACGTATTACACACTACCCTTACCTTTCGCTTGAACTTTTGACCTCCCTTGCCGGTGGGTGAAGGAAAAAAAAAAAAAAAAAAAAAAATTTGTATGGACGCAGTCGGACGAAGGGGTGTGAAATAAGGGTGCATACAATGTTATATAAATAGCAAATGCGGCAGGGTATCGTGTACAGAGGGAATGAAAGAAAGAAGTGGACGAGGGACAAGGTCATTGTTGGAATACCGTAACCGTGAAACAGACCCACCGACCTGTGTTCATACCTATACATACATTTCTTGTACACCGATGCATGGTACAATTATTGATATGAGATCGCGAGACACGCGAGAGCTTGTACTTACCACGTGTGCGTTGCGTATATATAACGTCACGAATCGCAGGGGAGGGAAAAAAAAGCTCTTTAGTGTATACTTACGTTTCGGTGCAGGCGGTGTGACGCGTGTTACCATGCTACTTTTTTTTTACCCAAGTTCACTCATTACGCGTCGATGTAATACCCGCAACCACGGAAGTATAGCCTCTTTCTTGAAGGATTAAAAAAAAAAAAAAATTAACCCAAAACTTGCCTTTTTTTTTGGATATACCATAATTAGGTGTTATCTAAACGTTAGCTTTGTCCTGCATTTAACGTCAAACAACGAGGAATTGAAAATCATACGATCAATCGCCTGATGATGGGCGTATACTTTTGGTGTTTTCTCCCATCTGGCATTGGAATCAATAAGTAGAAATGTATTAATCGTGACGATTACGTGTACATGGGGGCTCTGATTATTACTACCTTACCTATAGGTATCAAAGTAATCGGGCGTTTCTGTCGAGAAATTCCTCGGTTACGGGCGGACAAAGACCCCAACGGTGCAAGGCTCGCGCTCGCGGAGCTCAATGAAACGTCAAGACAAGACGCACAACACTATATTGTCGCGTTAGGTAATTTTGTGGCTCCCCCGACTGCCGAAAACTTAATTTATTCGTCCTTGCCGTGGGCGAAGGGTGGCATGCGCCCACAATAAATGAAAGTTGTCTATACGTTTGAAGTACTCGTGTTATATCGAGGGAAAGGAAAAAAAAAAAAAAACAACAACAACAATAAAACACGGATGTACGTGAATGTGTGTGTATATATATAACCTCGATGAAAAAGCTCAAACTTCAAGCGAATAGCTATGTGATAATTAGGTTGTGCATGGGGTGTTGTTGACGATATGGCGCGCGGTGGAGTTTTGCAAATATGAAATTGGCTGCGTATCAAAATTAAAGTTTTCGTACATCCCCCGTTACTCGTTATTGTTTAAATTTTTGTTACTTTTGCATCCGTAAAAATGACGACGAGCAATAAATACAAATAAGAGAGTCACTTACACACCGTTTTTTTAAAAGTAAATATATGTCTAGTGCACCACGCGAGGGTACAATCGTCGTTATTATTAAACATTGTTGAAGCGTCCAGCGAATCTCGTTGACGATGGTAACAACAACAACAACAATATTATGTGTGTATACACTATATAAAAAAAATAATAATGAAAAATGATGTTTTTTTTTTGTTACAGCAAGCGCACGACGCGAAGCAGCAAATAGTCGCGAGTCCGGAGGACACGGAGGACATGCCGGCGGGACAGCAGGGGCCACAGGTGCCCCGTCGACGCGGTGGTATATCGGCGGAGCCGGTCACCGAGGAGGACGCACGGAATTACATGAAAAAAGTCGTGCCCAAGGATTACAAGACGATGGCCGCGCTCAGCAAAGCGATAGCGAAAAACGTCTTGTTCGCCCACTTGGACGAAAACGAGCGCTTCGACATCTTCGACGCCATGTTTCCCGTGACCTTTCTACCCGGCGAGGCTATCATACGCCAAGGCACGCTCTCATTTATCCAAAATCTGTTGAATTTGCACGCCATCCCGAATAACCAATCGATGATTATATAATTGGGGCGCGAAGTTGAAGTATCGAAATCGTGGGGATTTTACCTCTTTCTCCTCCCTCGCGAAAATAGCACCGCTTCGACGCTGTTTTTTTAGAATACTGATCAATGGCTACTATAATATTTTTCACGTTTTAACGTTTAATATGGAATAGTTTTTTTTTCACGTATTAATACTCTACTTGGACTATAAAAATAAAAGTATATAGCATAAATATAAATTGTTGATATCTTTTGTCCCTAAATAGGCGACGAGGGTGACAATTTTTACGTGATCGACCAAGGCGAGGTGGAGATATTCGTGAACGGCGAGCTGGTGACGACGATCGGCGAGGGCGGCAGCTTTGGCGAGTTGGCGCTCATCTACGGGACCCCGAGGGCAGCCACGGTCAGAGCCAAGACCGACGTCAAGCTCTGGGGCATAGACCGCGACTCTTATCGGCGCATTCTCATGAACTCGACAATAAGGAAGCGCAAGATGTACGAGGAGTTCCTCTCGAGGGTCTCGATCTTAGGTCAGTCCACCCTCGATTAGTACATTTACACTTTATCAATGCCGTGTTTGTGTATTTAGAAAAAAAAAAAAAAAAAAAAAAAATTCCTTTCGCGTGTAGAATCACTGGAAAAATGGGAGAGATTAACGGTGGCGGACGCTTTGGAGCCAGTTTCGTTCGAGGACGGCGAAACGATAGTCCGCCAGGGCGAGCCGGGCGAGGATTTTTACATAATCGTCGAGGGCACGGCGGTGGTTCTTCAGCAACGCACAGAAGCCGAGGAATCCGCGGAAGTAGGTCGACTCGGACCCTCGGACTACTTTGGTGAGTGTCTCTCTCCTCCACCTCTTATTCGAGTCTCAAGTATACTTACCGAAGCATATACATATACAGTGTTTCAAGTCCTTGACTTTGATTCTGTCTCATTATGAATACATACGTGTAAATGTGTGTGTATGTGCGTTTCGGTATACGAATGTGTGTCAATAATTTTTTATAAATATAATGTGATCCATGACGTGCGTATTCAGCTTTAGTAAAGTTCAAATTAAAAAAAGGAAATGCGTTTTTTTGCAGGTGAAATAGCCCTGCTGCTGGACAGACCAAGGGCCGCGACGGTTGTCGCCCGCGGACCTCTCAAATGCGTCAAGCTGGACAGGGCGCGTTTCGAGCGAGTTCTTGGGCCCTGCGCCGACATCCTCAAGCGCAACATCACACAGTACAACAGCTTCGTCTCGCTTTCCGTGTAAATCCACCTCGTCGGTCGATCACAATCGATTTGCCACCGAGAGTGAGATGTCAACCAATACGTACACACCATCAGTCATGAAGGCCACGTGGAATTTCAAGAGGGAGATGGAAGAAAAAAGCGTTTCAATGTCATTGAAGATGATAGAAAAAAATTATAATTGGAAATTGCAATAAAGTTAATCCCGAGGTAGAGATTACATATTATCAATCGGAGGAAGAAGGAATTACAATAAAAGCGAATCGCGTATGCCGTCCGCCCTTTATCGCGGATGTCCTCGTTTCACAACACATACATGTGTGTACACACATTGTTACAATTTTTTATTTGATTAATATTTTAATATATGCATATACATATATATTAAGAAAATGGAAGAAAACATTGTATTGTATAAGTAGGAGATTGCTGTAATAAACAGATGAGTATAAAACAAAAAGATAAATCCTTAACACAATTACTGGATATGGGATCTGCATGACTTTTAGGTATCGGATGAATAATGGAATTAATAACTTGGTTTCATTTTAAAAATAGTGAATGATTTATTCATTTTTTAATTTTTTTTTTCATTTAATTATTCTCATGTATTTATATTATATGTATATACTGATCCTTCTTGCTAATGACACTGCGAGTTAGTTGTACGATCTAATTTTGTATATTCCAAGAAGTAATTTATCGACACAATCATTACTCATTCTTCCAATCTTTCGTAAATTTTTTTTTTTTTTCATCATCTAAATATCACTATCATCCGGGCATTCATTTATTCATCAAAATATTCTTCTTTTTGGTTAGGAAAAAAATAATCAACACAAACATCAACAAACAGATAGGTAAAGAATTCTAATAAACGGTGTGTTATTATCTGAAAATGATGTGCTGCTGTGTAATATTCAACTGATCAAGGCACACGGACTAGATGATTTCCATTCGTCTTCCCTAGTGAGTGTGTGGTCCCTTTCACGCTGCGTTGTCCTGCTTCTGGTCCTTGGAAATCGGAAATTTTCATCTACTCCGTGTCCTTTTTATGTGTGGATACATACGTTATCTTTGGCTAGCTGAAGACCTGGTGAATTCGCCTGGCAGGTTCCCAAAACATTGGTATTTTTCGAGGTTTCCATTTTTATTAATCTGTAATCTTTTTGCGTCTTTAAAAATCGTGACGTCTTGTAGGTCAGCGTCAAAATTAATGAGAAAATAGCTGTTAAAAGTAGAACTCGAAAATTTTTAATCGTAGATTCATTTCATTATTTGCATGATGATGAACAACAGCGCTCTAAATTTCTTTACGAGATAAAGAGAACAAATATTTTGGATGACGTGAATTATCATTTTATTTAATAAATTTGAAGTAGCGAAACATCGTGGGATAATCATGATGAGAAAAATTAATCTTTTAGCATTGCTCACTAAGTGAACAAATACATTATTTAATGAACCGTCTTACGCACTTAGGAATATATATATATATATATGTATAAATACTGTCATCGTGTGTTGTTGGACACGACTTTTAAAATGGGTACTCAAAAAAAAAGTAGAAGAAATTAATCACCTTACTACAACACTTAGGTGTAAGCGTCGGGAATGAGGGATGCACTTAGAAGATTAAATAAAATAACTTGAACGTAGAAGACAACGTTTCAACTGATAATTTTCCGAGTGAAATTTGTACAAAGACTTATTCCTTCCAAAGAATCGAATATTTGGAATAGTGCGCCCTTAGGCTGTCTAATAATATACATTTATACCGTTTGTATACACACTAACTTAACAAAGCCGTGGGTTCTCTTCCAAATATCTGATTCGGGGAGCGGTAGCTTTGTTTAACGCTATCATAGCTCTTCTCTTACGTAGAAAGTAATTTCTGGGAACACTAGTAGAAGAAACAACGAAGTTCTTGCCATTGTAACACACACTCTCGACCCGTTTAATGGAGGGACCATTGGAAACAAGAAGATATTTACGCTGTATGATAAGCGTATTTGTTGATTATTTGATTGCCCGTCGTTTGGGCTTTGTTTCGTTGAATTTTTGTTCAATATGAGAACGTAAAATTCGATAGGTTGTGAAGTGGAAAGTGGTTTTTGAAAATTCAAATGCCAGACTCTTGCTTATTATTTTAGGCCTTTACCAGGTACCGACAGAAGTACTGCTTGTCTTGCAGTCAAGCTGCGTACGTTCGGGATCAGCGTAAGCTAACCCAAACTCAGCAACAAATTCATAAAACTTCTCCAGATTATCGAATGCCAATTCCGCAACGATGAAATCGACCACCAAATTTTGCCGGTAACTAAACAATAGAACAAAGTAATCAATTAGCACACGCGATCGATGAGGGATCTGATAATTTATTAAATGATGTATATTTTTTTTTATCATAAATGAATTTGAGTCATAGTAAATTTAATTCACCACTGTTAAGAACCTGAAACAGAAATCTAACTGTCGTTAAGGCCCTACCCCATTTCCCTTGAAAGTCACTGGTGACTTTCAATCAACTACATTTGACTGCTTTTTACTCAAGTGCCATTGGCATCATAACCATCACATATCATTATAATTGCTAGAAAAAAGTTAGTGTTGATTGATTAAGGCGATTACAAAAAATCAGTTATTAACATTCAAGAATACTGAAGGTAATTAAATTGCATGTCAATAAATATACCACATATACATACGTCTTAAGCTACATTAAATAAAACGTATGTTAAGCAACTTATGTACTACTTGTTTCATATCACATTTTATAAATATCACATATAAATACTAAAAAAGACTTATTTGATATTTTTGTGTGTTGTTAATATGACACGTCAAAAAGATTGTTGTAAATATTCATGATGAAAAAATTTTAATCTTTAAATTCTATGACTGCAAATAATATTTCATCAAGCACAATTTTTTCAAGTTCTTGGTTTATATACATAATGCAAAAAATACTTAAAGGAATTTGTGGTAAATTAAGTGGCAATGACAACTGAACAGATAGTGACTTTAATTATTCACGCTGAATAAAAGTTTTCTTAAACACAATGAATGTCTGCATTTGTTTGTAATTGCTTACCTGCAGTAATACTACAAAATTCAAACATGACTACAAACAACGTGTGTTAGAATAGAGAAAATTATAATGAATGATGAAAGAAAAAGCAATGTCGCAAGATTTTGTAATCGCTTTTAAAAAAATAAGATGTTGCAATAAAATATTAAAATAATTAGCTAGCCTACAAATACATAAGAAAGGTGTCAATACGTACATTTTAATCATCTGTTTGAGAGCAATCTTCCTCTCCCGGGCAGTAAACCAATCCATGAGGAACGCTGCCATTCTAGGGGCTGTTTTGTAAAGCTTAAAGAAAGTATGATAATTGCCTAACCACCAAGCCGATCGAACTTTCAACGCGTGAGCTACACATTCGTCTTTTTTGTCTTTTTCCGTAAGCGCTGCGAGTATTGTCGTTAGATCTGCAATTTCAAAAGACGCGTGGTAACATTATTATTACAAATAGGACAGTCATAATCAATTAACGTACCTAATGTGTTCTTTGTGAAGATATAATACAGGATACGGTAAGCGACAAACTCGCAACGATTTTCACCACCAATCTCAGAGTACAGCATTTTTAACTGCGTCTGACACTGATTGAATTCCTCGTGATCGCCGCGCTCGAGCGCGACTCGGGCGTGAGTCTCGTACACGTTGACTGTAAACGAGTCTCGTATGCCCTGCACTGTTAGATCCTGTCGGATCGATTTTAACTGATCGCACGTGTAACGATAGTCTTGTTTAGAAACCCAGCGTTTTTTAACATGTGCAAGGGACTTTTGTAGAACACCGACTGGTCGCACGGCCGATGGTTCCGGTGCCTGCGATAAAACAAACGTGGCGTTACGATATTATTGATATTAAATGCACGACAACTAATAAAGTATCGTTGAATACAGAAGTCGCCGCTTACCGAGGTGAGACGCAGATAAGGCTTCTCCAGATCCCTGCAGGTGCCAACTATGTGCAGACCCGAGAAGTCGATTTCGGTATTGGGGTCAGTGTCCCTCATAATGTTGCTGGTAATGTTCACTGCACCGACTGTAGACGAGGGTCTGGAGTAAGCCTCGCTTTTGACAAAGCCACTGCTAACTTGTACCGTGGGTTTCGAGCACGAGTCGTTGTTGAAGCGCGCAGCTCGTTGCTGCAGCTTCTCCTTTGTGCCAAACTCGTCAACGTTACCGCCCGTCAAACCGAACTCTGAATAAAAGTGGCAATTGGCCTTGTTGATTTTTTTATTCTTGTTCTTCTTGTTCTGTTTGTTGTTAGCGTTCTGATTGGCGTTGTTGTTGTTGTGGCCACCTCGTTTGTTCTTGTTTTTCTGGTTGTTGGATATGGCTGGCTGCTTGTATTCCCGTTCGCCGGACGACGAGGACGAGGTGCTGCGTTTGTACTTACGTGGTGCCGGGGAGCGTGAACGCGACCTCGAGCGGCTCTTGGACTTTGATCTGCGATGCGAAGAGACGCTGGAGTTGAGGCTCATGTTGCCACTAAAGCTGCTGTTGTTGGACTGATGCGAGCCACCAGCCGACATCCTAATGCCTAACCGAGCTCCGAGAGTCATCGACAGCCCTGACGACTTCCGCTGAAGACCTGGCATGACCGTGGTATTCATCGGCTTGATCGTCATGGTCATACGCTCGCTGTAAATACTGGGCAAGGGCTCACGGTCCCAATCCTTGATCCACAATGAACCGTCATTTGCAGCGCGAGTTATCTTGCCCTTGAGTATGATTTCGACTTGATCCTTATCCATGGCCGTCTTGCATTTTTCGTAGCAGCGGTTTACGTAATTCTTGAGACTATCCGGCCAGTCTCCGACAGACTGACTGCCAGGAGGAGGCGGCTTCGAGGCAGTCGAATTAGCAGATGAGATGGAAGGACTGTTAAGTTTCTTACTGTTGAAGGGAGTCGAGGGCAACGGTGGCGGTGGCTGTGATGTTGGTGGCAGAGGTGGCGGCGGTTGTGAAGTGTTGATAGGTGGCATCTTTGGGAGGGGTGGTGGTCGCTCTGGGGGCATGTTGATCTCGTCGATGGGCGGTGGCGATGGTGGTTTTTCAACGGGGTTTGGGGGTGGCGGCAGCGGAGGCAACTCGATTTTAGACATTTGCTGCTGATGCTGTTGTGGACTTTGAAAATTCATGCCTATATTGGGGTTCGGGGGATAGCCGGGAGGGGGTACCGAAGTATTGGGAAGTGGCGTCGGGAAGCTATTAATATACTGGGCCGCTAGATTTTTATTCCTTTTACGCTTCTTTTTTGAACTATTGGTATTATTATTGCTATTATTGCTATTGTTTGCCTGCTGCTGTTGGGAAAACCCTAGTCCAGCTTTTTTGTTGGGTAAGTTGAAACGGATTCCGCTAAAATCTGGAATAAAAAAAACATTGTTTTGAAGTACACCTTGATAACAAAAACACAATAACCACACTCACTAGGAGTTTCGGATTGCTGAAAGGTGTTCCAGTTACCATAGGGAGAATTGTAATTGTAGTTGTACTGTTGTTGTGAAACTGGAGACTGTTGAGACTGCTGGGATTGCTTTGGAGATTGCTGCTGCTGCTGCTGCTGTTGTGATTTTTGCTGACTTTTTATGGGGGTTGCAGGAGGAGGTGGAGGTCCTGGAGGAAGAGGAGGAAGGTCAGAATCATCGTCAAAGGTCACTGGAGTAGGTGGCATGGGTGGTTGCTCGGGCTGCTGCTTCCCTTGACTGTTCTGCTGCTGCTGCTGCTGCTGTTGTTGTTGTTGTTGCTGCTGTTGCTGGGCTGGTTTCTGCTGTTGTGTTTGTTGTTGTTGTTGTGCTTGCATTTGCTGATGTGCAAGGTTTTGTGCTTGCACATGTCCATACTGTCCATAGTTCATCATGTTGTAATGTTGATAGTACATTTGGTTTTGATTGTAATTTTGACCATACATTTGCCTGAAAATGAATTTAATTAATTAAATTGAACAGAAAAGCTGACTACGTGTTATAAGATTTAATAATTTAGCTATGTATTTCACAGAACTTTTGTAGATACTCATTTGGCAATGAAAAACACTCATAGACATTTTTTTTTTGCAATTACCATACACAAATAGTAAATCATCTTGTATTGCAGAAAATGTACTAACATAAAAAATTTAATTCTTATACACTCCATAGGTTCTAGATATAAATCGTGTAATCAATACATTGGTACCTCGTTTGACCATTCATATATGTGGGTAGATACATATGCAAACAGTATCAAGGGAATGACTAGATACTTCTTCGTCAAAGAAATGAAAAATTGAAATGCTGGGTTTTTTTCGACTCTTCAGATACACAATATATAAATAAATATTTACAAATAAATCGAAATGAATAAAGTAGCCCCGCATAGAATCTTAGGATACAAAGGCACCAACGAAAAATCATTGAAATTCGACAATTTTTAATCACAGAAAAAGTAAAATTATACAAAGCACGAGTTACCGGAAAAATTGGGAGGGTTGAAAAAAACACACTTGCATTACATTTGACACAAACATTTAAGTACTTATAAGCACACTCACCCGTAGTACAGATTTTGAGAATACTGCCAGGCGGCCATGTTTGCCATGGAGGAAGCTCCCATTTGTTGTTGTTGTTGTTGTTGTTGTTGCTGCTGCTGCTGTGACTGATGCTGATACTGCTGCTTTTGCTGCGTAGCTGCTGCAACAGCTGCAGCTGCCAGAGATTCGGTTTCCGACATGATGAAAAGCCAACTATAGAAAATTGCAGCAGTACCGAGACTTCTCCGGGAGAGGAGGAGGATAAAGGACTATTCGATACAATATTTCCCTCGCTGCTGCTGACAGCTAATCTTTATCCGCCTCCATTGAATCCAGAAAACAGCGAATTAGGTGTATATAAATATGCGCTACTGGGCAAGACAAAGAGATGACCTAAAAAAACCTATATCGCAGTATCGCACGCGTAAACGTAGTTTTTTACGCTGTCGTGTTGTGCAGACGCACGCCCACACGTACACGAGAACGAGTCTTTCGATAAATAATAAGGGATAGTTTACACGAATTATTGATAGACGACTGATTGAATAAAGGAAAATCTTGATGATCGTAGTCGCAATGTTTTCTCAAAGAACCCACGCGCGTATACACGAGAAAATGGAGTTGAGTTTAGCTGGACGTACGACATGCGTCGTCCCACTTCATTACACACTGGGGGATTCCACTCGTCTTCTGCTGCTCTCTCGTCCCCTACCACCACTTTTGTATTATTTTGCGCGCGCGAATCCTGCATATAGAAACTCATGAAAATCCTGCTGCTATCATGAATCACGAGGCTAATCACCTTCACCTCGAGTGTTATCATTTATCGATTTTGCAAAAAAAGTACTAATGAATGTATATTTTCCATTTAGGTATAGATTGCCAAGAAAAAAATTATGAATGAATAAAAGTCAAAGTTGGAAATTTAGTTCGGGTAGTTTACAGCCAGCGCCATCTAGCGATGATGAATTCGAACTAAGAAGTAAAAAAAGTACTCTTTTATTTGTAAACAGCGCTAGTAGCGCTGTCAAAATAAAAATTTTTTCACTAACGCCGCTAACGCGCTGGCTAGTAAAAAATGATGTTCATACTAATATAAACATAATGGGAAAAAAGGGTTCACGAGGTTCGTAGCGGTAGATGTCTCGTTCAAATTCTGAGGGAATGAGTTGATAGGGTGGTCATAATGTTTAGTCAAAAAATTTTCTCCTCGATGTTCCTACGTGGTACATTCCATGATATATTAACAAAATGAATTAACTAAGATTTCTACAGCTCAAGTGGGAATTTTCAGGTGGAGGCATCGCCGTACATTACTAATAATAAACGAATTTAACGGTAAGTAGAGAACGTTCAACGAAATTTTGGCCCTGAAAAGGGCCGGTTGTTTTGATGTGTTAAATTTTCCCAGGTACTTCACTTCTTGGCTAATTTCGGCTTTGCTACTTTGGCAGTTGCCGGCAACTTCTTCGTTTTCGCAGATTTCACTAGTTTATTAGCTTTTGGTTTGGCAAGCGACTTGTTGATAGACTTTCCAGTTCTTTTCTTGGTGACCTTCCCACCAGATTTGGTCGCAATTGACTTCGCGGCACTTTTTTGGACCTTTTTACCACCAGATTTGGTCGCTATTGACTTTGCGGCACTTTTCTTGACCTTTTTACTATCTGGTTTGGTCGCTGTTGACTTCGCGGCATTTTTCTCGACCTTTTTGACATCTGGTTTGATCGCAACAGGCTTCTTTGGTTTCTGATTTACACTAGATTTTCCTCCTACCTTGAAGCGACCGGACGCGCCAACACCACTGGTTTGAACGATGGTCTTCTTCTCGACGGAGTTTCGTAAGTACTTCTTGATGAAGGGCGCCAACTTTTTGGCATCCACTACGTACGTCGCGGCGATGTACTTCTTGATGGCGTGGAGCGACGAGCCTTTCTTCTCGTTCAGGGTTTTGATGGCAGCGATTACCATTTCACTGGTTGCCGGATGAGGAGACTTCTGGGGCGCCATCTTCGAGGATTTCTTAGCAGAAGCTGCAGTCATTGTAAGCACTGAATGTGGCGATAACGTCTATTCACTTCGATAGTCGACCGTAAACTAATGGCAAGTATTATCGTCGCTAACTGTAAACTGTAAACCCAACGAAAATGCAGTTCTTAACGTGGAGGGGGAATGAGCTCAACATTCGTATTGTTAAAATTGGTTGAATGCAAGTTAATGAAAGTACAGAAACGGAACTCCTTTCGTAAGACATTTGATGGCCCTGAAAAGGGCCGATTGGTTTTTCGTTGGGAATCTACTTGGAACTGGTGTACTTGGTCACTGCCTTGGTGCCTTCGGAGACGGCATGTTTGGCAAGTTCACCGGGAAGCAGAAGCCTCACTGCCGTCTGGATCTCCCGGGATGTGATGGTCGACCTCTTGTTGTAGTGTGCCAAGCGAGAGGCTTCCGTGGCGATGCGCTCAAAGATGTCGTTGACGAAGCTGTTCATGATGGACATGGCCTTGGAGGATACCCCGGTGTCCGGGTGCACCTGCTTCAAGACCTTGTAGATGTAGATGCCGTAACTTTCCTTCCTCTTCTTGGAGCGCTTTTTCTTGTCTCCCTTGGAAATGTTCTTCATTGCTTTGGCGCTTTTCTTCTCCACTGGGGTAGTTGTTTTCGGGGCCATTGTAAATTGATCGAGTCGGAACGTGTTACCAGTTCAAGAATGTGACGAAAACTGATAGGGGTAGCAATTTTTTTTGCCTCTTGCGATTCCGTCAAGAGCATCTACTCCGAACCAATGAGAGTATAGCTCGATCAGGTGGTGGGGGCAAGAAATTCGTTTATTGGTTGAGCGCGTGTCAGCGATTTCCCCCTCCACGTGAGTCCATATCCCCACTTGGGACAACTTCACTCTGATTGGTTCGGAGTAACTGCGCTTGTACAAGATAAAAAAAAACATCCCGAATCCAAAAGCTGTCAATGAAGTAGCATACGGTTGACTTTCTGGTGTTTAATCTTTAAATCGAAATAGTCAATTTCAAAATGAGCGGATCTGGACGCGGCAAAGCTGGTGCAGGAAAGGCCAAGGCGAAGCCAAAGACGCGCTCATCTCGAGCTGGACTTCACTTCCCGGTGGGACGCATCCAGAGGTTTTTGAAAAAAGGTAATTATGCCGAGCGAGTTGGTGCCGGTGCCCCAGTTTACCTCGCCGCAACCCTCGAATATTTGTCCGCGGAAATTCTGGAGTTGGCGGGAAATGCAGCTCGAGACAACAAGAAAACGAGGATAATACCTCGCCACCTCCAGCTGGCCATTCGCAACGACGAGGAACTCAACAAACTGCTTGCCGACGTGACGGTGTCCCAAGGAGGTGTTCTGCCCAATATACAAGCCGTACTTTTGCCAAAGAGATCCGAGAAAAAAGAATTAAAGGAATAAACCGAAAACTTGTGCTACCAAGCGGCCCTTTTCAGGGCCACTACTCAACTTCAATCGTAAGACCTAATTGCCTTTATCTCCACCTATTTTATATTACAATTCTATCCATATAATTGTAGCATAGTTCACGGATACTGTGCGGATTTCAATTTATCTCTTATAATTTAGCAACTGTTAATCGGGTATAGGTACATCCAAATTATTTTGGTAGATTTCAACACTAAGGTAGATAAAAGGGTTTTCAAAATAGTGCAGTATTATGTACACTACTCCTGAGTTCTTCTAAAAAGTATTATGACATTAGAAACAAAAAAATAGCCGTCGAGTGAAGTTGAAATTCGCACACATCGATAAAAACATCATTTTTTGACATAATGATAATAATGTTAACAGATTGGTCAGCGACACGTACATCGAGCAGCTTTTATTACTCGTGCCTGGCGCATACTTGGGTATTTTTTTTGCCATGTGCATCATCCGCGCCCGCGAAAAAATACGCGCATGCTGCTGCACCAACGGACGTCTGTAAAAAATAGTCAGGTGGTGAACCCACGTGACCTAGCAGTCGGCGTAGTGGTGGCGTGCGCTTGCTGTCCGCTTTCTCTCCATGGACGTCGAACCAGCTACATCGTTTATCGTTACGCGACCCAAGATGCGTGCAAAATGAATCATTAGTTTTTAACGGCTTGCACACGCAAGTGTGCCTACACAACTATCGTTAATCATGACGTGAGTACATCTTTTTTTCATAGTCTAGGAGTTTGTTGTTAATCTAGTGGGCTTTGACTACTTGCATGTAGATAGCATGGTATCGTCGCCATTTTGGGTATGTGTGGGGGGCATTTGTAAGTGTGTGCGCCCGTGAATGCGCGTGCATGCGTGTGTGTGACTGAGTAATCATTTTTAGGTATCCTCAAAATTTTTCCACCTATACTCATAAGTATACTAGGTATACTGTCATGCACCCATATTATCGTGCTCAAAAATATGACAGGCACATATATGTATAACTTGGCTGTAGACTTATTGATTTTTTTTTATTTCGGAGCAACATACGCGTTTCTCAAGTTGCCTGCTGACGTCACCATTGATTATTGCATCATATCGTTTAACATGTCGATTAATTGATTTTTCGTCGTTTTTACGTGCGGATCGAATATTAATGAATTAAGTTTGTGGTTAGCCCTGGTTTTTCAATATAGATTTTAAAGATAAGCTACTACATCTTGCGTTGTACTTATACACTAACGTACAGTTTATTACAGTACATAGGAAAATCGGGTATTTTTCTTTTTTATTTTCATCGTCTATTAGATAAGATACTTATAACGTATACATAACAACATAAATAACGAGTCGTTCATTAATGTATTTCGATGTGACGCTTGGTATATGTCAACACTATATATCTTGTATGTACACTAATGACAGTTGCGGGACTGTTGTATTGGCAACAATCGTTATTTAAATGGCCTTCGGGTCTTTAACCTCGAGACAACCGGTAATTGTTAGAAAATCATGGAAGCCTTTATGTATAAACAAGGATTTTTAGATAATAAGTATGTAAACACATATGTGAATTACTCATAATCAGTATAATTTTCTTTGAAGCTTATAAAATTATTGTCAAAAACACTGCCCTTATTGAACACATGTAAAAAAATGAAATTTTTGTTTGAATATCTTCAGCCATTTACTGATCCGTATTGATAACGGTGTTATTTGATCCTGTCGAAATTATAATTATAAATTTCGATACATTTTGCGACTTGCGTGTTACGGTAAAAAAGGAGTTTATAGTAAAAAAAAAAAAAAAAAAAAAAAAAAAAAAAAAAAAAAAAAAAAAAAAAAAAANAAAAAAAAAAACTTGAGGCCAAAGGGTGAATACTCACCCATTTAAACGTAATTTTTGTTTGTTTTTAAAATTTTTCAGTGCCATTATGGCGTTCTCCGCGAGCTACGTCGCTTTGCCGACTATCATCCTAAATTCATTAAAAAATTTGACGCCCCTCGATTGGATACCAACTGTCAGCAAAAATGTCAGGATCCGATCAGGAGACAACGATGCTGTCGTGGAAGGTGGAGCCATTATCCCCTAGTGGGACCCCACCACCCTTTGACAAAGACGAAGAATGGCTCTGTATCGACCAAAAGCCTGCAATACCCGAGGCGAACGAACTCTACGGAGAGTCCAGCCTCTACGAGGAAGATGGAGAAGAACAGCTTACGCGTGCACAAGTAGCTAGTAAATTTTTAGAAGAATTAGAGCTCAAGTATTGGATCAAAGAAGGTAGGTACCCTTTTTTTTTGTTCTTATGTGATTGTTAATCTTATTATTACTACACAATGCCCTTAAAACAAAAAAACAGCTCAAATCGTTAGTTCACGATCTCTACTAACGTCTTTTGAAGTAAGCATAAACGAGTACACGCACTTCAAGTTGATTTGAAAATGGAATATGATATAATAGAAAAAAAAAAAGAAGATTTTAATTACAGTCTACCAATCTACGTTATTCAACGTAATTAATTTTTCGGATCAGAGGAGTTATTGCTTTCTAATGCAACGATCAACCATGACCAGTATGCTGGTACGCGTACAGTTGCTCCATTGAACATGAAAGCTAGTTGCCTGGACAGTACAGCCTTGAATGCACGTGCATTTATTGTGATCGTGTAGCCCGTTTGCCTTGCTGAATTATTTATCAAAGTTGCCTAGACGTTTATTGCAAAACCCGTGTGTCGGTGTTTGCCTGGTCGTTATTTTTATACTTCAAACGCTCATTTATCACCCTCTATCTATTAATCGAAGCCCGCCCATTGCAAACTTCATTTTTTTGCCTCGTAAATATACCACCTGAACAAGCTGCTCGACGTGAATGCTCAAGCTCTACCTGTGTACGTGTGTGGCAATTAAAGGCGTGCCACAAGACCGAGCATTTCTGAGCAGCAGCGTTGATACGCACGACTTTTCAATCGCCTACTAATGCCACACTCGTTTCATTTTCAAATGACGACGTGCTTGCAACAACTCTTGGACGTATGTCGAAGGAAAAATGGAAGAATCGGAGAATAAAAAAGTAGGCTCGGAAAGACAGCACATGTATATGGGTACGGTGCGAAAGCTGTGCTGGCACAGTCGACCCACAAAAACAGGTTTTCTGTCCACCGTGTAACGTAAGATAGGCACAGTCTTCCTACTCCCTCTTGCCCAAAGCGGTGTATATACATGCGCGACTTGACAGTGACAGGAACGGATTGTCATCTTTTGTACACCAAAGAAGCATCAGCGCGAAACCGGAGCAACGACACGGCCTTTAAATTTTTCTCGAGCGCGCGATTATCGCTGTCCCACCTCGCCCCCTCCCCCTCCATTGTTTATCACGGGGAATTTCGCGTGCGCATCTCATGCACGTGTGTGCAAGGCTCGAGAGCAACTCGATTGCCTTGACAAGAAATTCCGGCTTACGTCAGAGCTCGCCGAGAGTTTTTCCCCGTATCCATTGCATTATGCAGTGCGCCCAATCGGTACACGGGAAAAATGACTCTGGACGGACAAACGGAGCAATCGGCCCGCGTCGTCTCCCGATTCCAAAAACAGTCCCGTTCGGCGATCGGCGAGCAAAAAAAAAAAAAAAAAAAAAAGTATGTTGGGCTCGACTGTTTTTTACCCACTCCATACGCAGCCGAAAATTCACTGCTGACGGATCGATGAGAGGGGAAAAAAAAAAAAAAAAAAATCGGTAATCTCGGTTGCGCGAAACACGCGCCATTGGCCGGATCCCGGGGAACTCTGCCGATATCTACGAGCAAGCAATAATAATGATGATGGAGCGTAAGTGCATGAAAGATGCTGGACGTGCGAGAGAACACACGTGCGTGTAAGCGAGGCCGCGCGAGCGGAAGAGGGAGGAAGGCGAGTGGGACAAACTGGTTAACTTCTGTCCGGAGCGACTCCGTGGCAACAGCAAAGCGAGCGGCATAGATCGAAACGGGGAAAAAAAAAAAACAGCGGAGCTCCGAACGAGAGAGAAAGAGACGTGACACCCGTGACGACGAGCGCGATGCACGCGCGAACGCCAAAGAGTGTGTATATATATATATACATATATACAGGAGGAGATAAGAGGAGCTCGAGGGAGCGAGCGAAATCGCTGGCGCTCTTGCTCCTTTGCTCGGCGACGATCACGACAATATCAATTTATCCGCTCTCAGTTGGTTTCTCGGCTCGCCCGTGGACGCGCGCGCGCTCAAACTCTCTCCAAGTATCTCCCGCACACACTCGTATCGCGTATAATATGTTGTAGCCTGCCGATCGGGAACGCATGCCGACCGAGTTTATTCTCGGGCACCCGTTCACTTGCACGTACAAGCGCGACGACGACGCGAGCAATCATCTCTCGGTGGATATTGTGCGGTTATTCGGGTGGCCTTTTTCGATCATCCGAGCGAATCTGCGCAGCATCGGCAAGAACGGCGGTACTTCGTGCGATCGCGCACCGAAGCGACAAACACGCACACACGCACACACACACACACACTCGCAAGTGCCGTTGGATGGAAGTCACCTGTAATATAACGTCGAGTCTCGCTGAATCGTCCCAAAGAACAACATTGTACCTACACGTACATACATAGCAGCGGGAATTAACAGCGCGCGAGCGCGTGCAGGGATCGCAGCATTGCCGTGATACTGGCAGGGACAAGGCAACGACAGCTGCTGTGGCCAAAACCTGCAGAGAGTCGCGTCGATAAGGTGTCGCGAGCAGGACATCGGGGACGGCCGGTCGCGGGAGAGACCGACAACGCGGATAACCCGTTTGGAAAGATCGGCGGGCCTTGCCTGAGATCGGTTGGGATCGGTGACTATAGCGATCGCGCGAGGAGGTACCTCGAGGGCCCGCCAACAGTAAAAAACTGCAATAACCCGCCGGCGTCTCCATGTTGGAGCGCACTAATGTTGTATAATAGCATGCAGTTCGCATACAGTTACACGTGGAACAAAGAGATTATCGTGGCCTCGCAGAAGCTGGTGAAAAGACGCTGAAGTGCCCGATAGGCGGTGGCAGCAGCAAGCTAGGTCCCCCGTACCGCGGAACGACCGAGCACAGCCGCCGAAGCGCGACCAGCCGCCACGATCCAAGGGCTCAACGGAACAACAACAACAACAACCCGCCCGGTTATCGTCTTTGCTTCCTCCTCCTTTTATCGTGGCCGTTTGTCTCGATTTTTTGGACTATCTGTGAACGACGATTGTCTCGTTTCTACCACCACGAACTGTACGACACCCACTCGCCTCTGGGGAAAACCAAAATCACGTGGGCTTTGTTTCGTTTCTACAATCGGACCGGCGAACCCATCTGGGCGTCCGACGAACAACAGCTGGCGGACACTCGTAACTGCGCGCACGGCAAATCACAGTCATGGCTGCTATATGCTACAACGGTACGATCACCCTTATCGTCGTCGCGATACCTCTATTTTTCTTTCTCTTTTTCTCTCTCTCTCTCTCTCTTTGTTTTCCTCTTTCAGGTCGATATATATATATATATATATGTATGCTCAGTGTACAATTGCCGCTGGTAACAATTGTTTTACCGTCAGGCTTCCTAATCCCACTCTCCACAATTGTAATCTGCTTAAGTTGCTAACAAATTGAATGATGTCGGCGCTCGCCTGGAAAAATTTAACACGATGTTTTCTCTTTTATTTTCTTTTTTTTTACGAAAGACGTGTATTTTCGATGGGATGGCCCCTGATTGAACACACGTGGCGGATTGAAGACCGGACTTGGCTAAAATATTAAAAGTGTTGACGGTTTTGTTGAAAATTTTACTGGAATATTTCGGACTGGTTGGCGATACGTTCGGGCATACATACAAATACGTTTTAACACGGACGACGGAAAGATTTGCACTTAAATGACGGTTAATCAAGAGCGAGAACAGCCGGGCAGTCCAATTTATCGACAAGCACGGAAATATACGGACACGCGCTTTCTCTTGCGGTAACTTTGCGTCTACAATACATGTTGTTGCGTAAAATTTTAATAATAGTTTATAACTACAGACATACCGTAATATATTAACGCTCAAAGTATCAACTCGATGAGTTCTCATTGTCAAACGACAATCGTCATCGTGAAATCATTGTTATCGCGCTAATTTTTTCGATTCGTCGTTCAATTATTCATCGATAAAACAAAAATCACATGAAAGATGGCGATGAGAAATAAAAAAAAAAAAACACGTGCGCTCGTACGCCACATTAAATTATTAATTTTAATTCTTAATTGAAATCGGTAACAAGGCCAGTCCCGTTCTTTCTGCATAAAATGAAGGATTATGTTAAACAATGATGCTACTCGTTGACGTTTATAGTATTAGTGCTGTGCATTTTTTTTTTTTTTTTTTTTTCATGCCGATTTGTATGAATTATTTGATAGGTACAGTCGTGAAAACAACAATGGCGTAATGCAACTTGAAAAATTTCAATGATAACGCGGAGCTTTCAAGTACTCTCGTATCGCTGCTAAAAAAATCGTGTGGCAATGGGCTGGATTTTTTCCAATCATAATACATAAAGACTTTTTATACAGGCGATGCTCGATCAAACGATATCAAACTTTTGTGTTTCATCTTGGCACGCTTTACATAACGCGATAAATTATTCATTGTTCTTGTGAAAACCGGCAACCGCGTGGTGTATATGTATATAGGTAAAAGTGCGCTGCATAAAAAAAGGTTCAATCGTATTTTAAAAAGGTTCCGGGCGGGTGTACGCTGACCGTACGTAGAAACGTCCTTTGCACGAGCTCGAAAACATCACGTATTTTATTTTATTTTTTTGTTTTTGTTTTTTTTAACTTCGATTCCATACTTGGACGTTTTCTCTCGAGTCTCTCTAAGGAATTGGATAAAAAGCCACTTAACTTATTACAGCGTTTACTTTCATAAAAAAAAAAAAAAAAAAAAAAATCGATCAATCAAAGCCCTGCCCGATGTTATTATAGTCTTTATCGCGCGATACCTGCTTTTTAGAGTGTTTTCGTGGAGGAAAAAAAAAAAAAAAAAAAAACACTACAGACAACAGGCATCATTTTGAAGTAGAATCGAAACCCAACCCTTCCGGCACAATCACCATAATATTTATGTCTCGCGTTATCACAATATACCACCCCCGTCGCCTCTCGGCAGCGCACGTGCCTCCGAACACGCATACGTAAAGAACTTTCAGTTCACGCATGTAACTTATCCGACCTGCAAATCGTGTTCTCGCGCGTGCACATTCCGCTCGCATTTTCCTCGGCCGCTGGCGGCGTTCGAAAATCTGGTTTCGTTACATACGATGTTTCTTTCAACTTTTTCCTCTTCATCGCACGCTGTATTTACGCGCGCATGTAATATATACGCAATTCGAAAGTACACGACCGAACGCTCCGGTTGACCGAACGATTCGGCTGTAGTGGTACAGATGCTCAACGTTATAAATGTGCGTCAACGTTGATGTTCCATGCACCCCATGGGGATATTTTTGCAAAAGTTTGCGATCCGTTTCGTCCGTTTCTTGCTTGTTCGCAGTACAAGTTAACGTAGTACTGATTGTACCTTTGTTGGACAATTAAAGTTGAAAAGAAATTGAAACAAAATTAACAAAGGTTGTGAAAATATACGTCCTCGATTGATGTTGTATTCAAATTTGGAGATGTTAGTCATTACACCACTTGAAATATGCAAAATAAGTCTTGATATTTTATTTTTTTCGACCAACGAAATTTACTGGTAGCGCTGTAGTTGATGATCCGGTCAAAACTCACAGGGATCGACTCGGCAATTGAATATCCAAGGGAGACTCGTGTCAATGCGCCAATTAATTTTTTATCAGCTCCTCGTTTGGAAACATTTTTCTTCTAATTGAATTACGGAGCGATACGGACTGTGTACACTTACGTAGATAGGTTTTATTAAAAAGAATTTACCGATCGTATTCGCTCCGAGCCGATGCAGAGGTTGCGCTCCCTCTAGCCAAAATCAGGCAACATTTCTTGCATGTAAACAAACGGTTTAGAACATATATACATACGTACAGCTGCTTGTGATTGGCACTTGGCAAGCTAGAGAGAGAACGACGATCCTCTCCTGCTGTCTTATTCAGCCAATCACAAGCAGCTATACGTGTGTATATATGTTCTAAACCGTTTGTTTACATGTAAGAAATGTTGCCTGATTTTGGCTAGAGAGGGCGCAACCTCTGTATCGGCTCGGAGCGAATACGTGCATATGCTACGGTACTTCTTTCACACGAAACAATGCTTTCGTATATACAAATGAAATCGGGCATAAAAGTTGTTTTATTGCATTTTACAGGCATATACCGGTGGACAACATCGGTATGTCTCTGATATATGCTACTCGTGTATACGTAATGTCACGACGAACTCGTTAAATTTGATACTGCAACGTTGTGACGAATGTTTGTTACAATAAGAGTACGAAAGTAATTCGAGGGTGCGCTTCATGTTTGAGTAATTTGATCAACCAACGCGCCTATTCGGCGATCTCTTGGCTGGAGATCCCACCTTACATCCAAAGCGACCAAAAATTACGTATCCATAGGTCATACCTGTACCGATCAGCTCTGTCTCTACAATATTATTTTATCATGGGAGAAATCCTTAATAAATTCCTTGCTGGTTGAACAAAAAGTAAAAGAACAATTTATACCGCGGGCCTTTGCCCGATTAAAATCTTTGCCGTTATGTTGCTATGCAAATATGATGTGTATAATATGCTATTAATGACTCGCAGGTGAGAAAAGCCACGAGAGCTCTGTGTACATACCTCGTACGCCAAGTGAGTCGATAACGATGTTATTCTAAACCAGCGCGTGATCAAATGTGTCATTTTCATAAAACCATCATCATCTTGGAAAATTCGGTCTAGTGTATATATACGCAAGACAAAGGGTAAAATACGTGCGCGCGTATTGCGATGAGATTTTGTTGAAATCGATGCGGTTGTGTGGAAAAAAAAACTCCCGCCCGCTTCGTGATACAATTCTTACAAGTACTTTGTATATACAGAGTGTGCCCGCGTGCGCGTGTGAGACATTCGAGACATTTTTGTATCGTTCAGTATTGGTGCCTACTTTCTAATTTCCCCCATGCAGTTAAGTTTTTATACAACTTCGAAATGATACACACGTTTATTTAAATTACCATGTCTATACTAATTCGAAGTTTTACAACCTGTTTTTTTTTTTTTTTTTTTTTCTCAGCAACTACTGCTTTTGTACATGTACCTACAATTTATTTAGTTATAAAATTGAAAAAATTTGTTGTTGTTTTTTTCGCAAGTAGGTACATTACATTGTATTCTAGTTCTTACGTTACATGCAATTTTCCGCGTTAACTGTTATACCTGTTATTATTTTTTTCCGCAGAGCAATGGCAAATCTCCGTTTGTCCGTGTTAACGAGAGAATGTATTATTTTATTCCCGAAGTGCGGGCATCTTGTTATTGCTCGTATACGCCGGTAGTATATCATCCATCCATCGCGACGGCAAAATTCATCGCCGTCTATCAATCACGGGATCCCCGGTCGATAATAATGGCAAACAATGGCTTTTCCTTGAATCGCTCGCGCGCGCGATTTTGAGGGCTCGAGATTTTTCTCTCTCCGTGTACATGTTGCGCGCGTTCGTCATATGGAGGGGAAAAAAAAATGCGCCGGAGATATTGGTGTCCAATTCAGGATAGCCGCCGAGAGAGAAGAGATGTTATATAGTGTATATGTAAGCTAAGTGTGTCATGGACTCTTGATATCTCGATAGTGGTTTTAAATAGGCGACGCGGGTTTATTACTATACCATCGAGTGGCAGTCTAGCTGATGCACAACAAGCGCAACTTTACGATCGCGAGAGTATTTATACAAGTTTTACGCGCAAACGAGGCTGAATCGTGATTTTTTCACGAAAATTCAAAGCTCGACAACATGTCTATGTATGATAAAATACTTGCCTTTTCGGTTGGATAACGTACACGACATTGCGTTCTCGTGGTGTTTTTTTGACCAAATTATAACGTCGAAAAGTAAGTTTTTATATTTTTCCTTTCGAACAAAAACCTACTTTCACTTACCGATTTCTCTCGCTCGTATGGAATAAAAAAAAAAAAAAAAGAAAAGAAAAGAAAAAGAAAAAAGAAATTCCAACTCGTGCCATTCGATTCTTATTTTTAACATTTGTTTATCATGTACTTGATGGATTTGTTAGAAGAAGATGGAGGGAGGGAAAAATCAACAGGCCAAGTGTTGGGGCGCAAAAAAAAAAANAAAATAAAAAAAAAAAAAAAAAAAAAAAAAAAAAAAAAAAAAAAAAAAGAACCTGCGACGTCACGTCACGCGGACCGATAACTTGTTATCAAAAATTCGCAACGGACGTAGGAAAAAAGTCCTCCCCAAGCTCGAATGTAGAGCAGACGGGTGAATTTCGCGCGATCGGCCGCGTTATGAAACCAGTCGCAAAAATCTCGTGGCACGCTTGTTCCCCGCAGACTGCGTTTTATCTAAAAAGGCCAGCGATGCAGTTGGCCCATCGGCTGGAAAAGAAGTGCTTATGCATTATGCGTAGATATACCTCGTCGGGGTCGGGTTGAGATCAATCCGCCAGTAAACGTATACAATGTTATACGGTAAAATGAAAACGCTCTCCCGCGATTAATGTGCAATATACTTATGTAACGCATGGCCAATCGAGCCTCTTTGTGGCACGAGCTCGCTTGGTGTATACTTATTATACGAATATAAATATATGTATTCAAAGCTCCGCTTGTAATTTGTAGACAAAAGTATTTTCCATCTGGTGGTGGTGGTCTCGACGAGTGACGTATTTATCTCCACCAGCGATTGCACGCCCATTGTTTTTAATGATAATTGGCTTGTTCGCCTCATTTAAATGTATACTTATACACAGAAACATGTGCTCGCGCGCCCGCGCTTCGATAAGACGTTTTGTTTTCCCATTGCGTTTATTACGTTATAATTGTATACAACATTAGACTCCTTCCAGTCTGGGTCGAAAAACTCGACGTTTGAAGGATAACAACGATATTGGAGAAAACAAAAACAATGCAAAGGAGAAAAAAAATTGCTTGACTTTTAGTCGGTGCATCAGAGTGTGACCCACATTGGTAATATATTATATTATACACTTGGGATGAGAGTTGTTCAAGTGACGACCATACAACATATTTATATTGTACACGATTAGTTATTGTGGCACTGGTACATGGATATGGATGCATTGTGTGTGTGTGTGTGTACCTGCTTATCAAAGGAGAGAGAGAGAGCTATTTGCTAAATGGGCATATACTTATATGGGGGTGAAAATGCGCCACCACAACACACACGGGCTCGATGCCGTTGAGAATATATATATATATATAATATTATCTTGTCTCCTTTATTGATTTTTTGTTATTTTTTTTCACTGCCTTCTGCGAGGGAAGGAAAGTTCACGGAACGACTTCTTTTTGTTGCCGTATTTCTTATTTTGTCAATTGGCGAAAGGAAACAACGAACGTAAATTGCAGTGCATTGAGCTCACGTTGGAAATAATAATAATAAAAAGGTAGTATCGCAAGCACGATCGCTTACTCGACAGTGGCAGTAGTATCTAATATTGTAATGAAACGCACAACAGTTGTAGAGACACCCGATGAAATAATTACCAATAATGTAAATACCGAGGCTCGTGGGGATAATAAATAGACACAGAATACCTACAGTCGTAATTTGTGACTCTTGTATACCCACCTGTGATCCAGCGATCGAACGAATCGATGTAAAAGAGTATACCATATTATGATGTATGGGGTAAACAAAGTACTTGGGTCGAAAAAAGGCGAGCCTATTACACGTATCCTACGTACACTTACATATGATAAAAATAACAGCTGGTACAACACAACTTGTTAACTTTGTAAAGCTGGGAAACACGTGATACGCGTGTAGCGGGTTGATTTCGCGATGCGTGTACGTAAGCGTATCTACGTATAATATAAACTTGTTAATTTCATTGTCTCACTTCGAGGTGAGCCGGAACATAAAGCGAGTAGGTACATTCATCGGGGCCGCGAGATTTTTTTAATTTTATGGCCGCCTTCGTCGCGGCTGTCCAATATGCTATATGGCATTTTCTTCATGGATAATCGTTCGCAGTTACTTGTATGTATTATATATACAATTGCACCGTTGCGGTTAATTTGAGGAGGATAAATGGGTGGGGGGGGGAGAGAGAGAAAAACAAACAAACAACAAGACCCGGGACGACCTTATTCCAGCTGATCGAGTCGATTACAATTGATACGATAGCAACTCTGTTGTACGAGAGATGGTACATGATATTACATGCACGGGAGGTATGTGATTTTTTCGCGACTTTAATCAAAAGGCTCGTGTCATACGCATCATATCTTACCTAATTATATACATTATTTTTATGGTAAAGTTTATATTTTCAGTCAATTAACGAGTCAATGATGTAACACAACGATATAGTGATTTTTTAATGTATTTTATTGAAAAAACCAATAATGTACGTACAAAAGTAAGTAATTTAGCTCGGGGAAAACACAATCATGTTCACGCATTGATTATCCCGTGAAATTAAACCATCTCCGATTAATTTTGTTGGGAGTCAATACTTGATCGATTGTAAATAAAAATCGCACTCTCGATCCCGTGATTTACGTCGGTGAAGAGGCACACGAGCTAACGAAAAGTATAGAAAATAGACTCGCCGAAAAATTATCCAATTCGTACAAGGCGTCTAAGAAATTAGCGTCCAACATTTGACTCTGAAAATCTTGAAAGCGTGCCTGCGAAAACGAGGATAATGAAAAAAATCGATAAATAAAAATGAAAGGAGAAAAAACATAAGTTTCAAAATCAAACAAATGACCCAATTATAACACTAATTGATGCATATTGTCTTTGAAACTACTTTAAATCGAGATATTTATACCACCCTCATTAAGTAACAGTCTCTCTTGTATTTGAACACGCGTATTTATGACTACAATGTCCTTTCGCTACTTAAGTTTTAAAAATATCCATGGTAAAACACAATAGTTGCTTTGCCCCTGTGCGCTCATGCAATTAGTGTGCGTTTGATTAGTTATGCTTCCTCTCTAAAAATGTCTAAAAAATATTGGTACCCCGTTTTGATATGTTTGCCACAATAGCCAAAAACGGTCAGTTTGTCAGATAAAGTTTAGCTGTAGGTAGGCTAGTTGTGGTACTCGGTACTCGTACGTTAGTATGGGTGATTCAAGAATTCCGAATTTCGGACGGAAGACCCCTAGATCGGCGTGGAATCAGGGTATACACAAATATTATATTGTCGTCAAATTGAAATTATCACGTGTAATAGTTACTTGTACACAGCAACAGTTGACAACAAAATTACCGTCTCGTGCCGTATGTGATTTTTATTTACTTATTCTTCTATTTCACGCTTATGCTTGCAGAATCATTTACCGATTGGTTCGAGGAGAAAATCGATATACCGATTTTCGAGGAGCTACCAGCCCCGGAATGCGGACAGAACCGCGCGGCCATCATATACTCTAGTTTGTCGAAACACCAACTTCAACCATCACAAATTCATGTTCCTGTCCAGCAGCAGCAACAACAACAGGTGCTTATTCAACAACAGCAGCAGCAGCAAAATGTTGATGCCACGCAGACACTGCTGCGGGAGTTCGAGACTGTGCTGGGCGATGTCGAGGCTTGCCATCACATACCCTCGATAATTTCAACCCTCACTCCACCCCAGTCTCCGCCACCGAACGCCAAGCAACACCAACTGCAGCAGCAACAACAAAATCTCGTTGTAGCGCCCAACACCGCCCATTTGCTCGTCTCCCTGCAGCCCCTACAGCACCAGTCTCAGGTGGCCTATGTTTACGAGCAGCAACAACACAACCACCAACAACAGCAACACCAGGTACTTTATTATCTCTCGTTTACCCTCGCTTCAATTAAACTCAAATGGAAGATACTAAAAAATTGTACCATTTCAGGAGTCGATAGCAGCCGTGTCATTGCTCCAGCAACAACTACAACAACAACAACAACAACAGCACCAACTTACTGAAAACTATGACGTTTCGGCCTTGCCTGTAGTCCAGCAGCAACAGCAGCAGATTGCCGAGCACTGGAATCCAGAGAACCTGTCGTTGGTTCCGCTTGTTCACGGTTGTGACGTCGTCCAAGAGCTCACCAAAGTTGACGAGTATATGCTCAGTTGCACCACTAATGTGCCCGTTGACCACATCTCCTCCGCCTCGTCCCAGTGCGGCAGCTCATCCTCGGCACCTCCGTCACCCTGCACCTCTTCCAACGCCAGCTGCATCTCCTCCGAGGACTCGGCCGACGATCCGGACTGGTCCTTCGAGCCCACATCCAGCGGTAGTGGTGGTCGCCGTGCCAGCCAGACCAAGCGTGCTGGTCGCCGGGCTGCCAGCAGCAAGCCCTACACGAGGCCTAACGTCGAGGACAAGCGGGTACGCAAGAAAGAACAGAACAAGAACGCCGCGACGCGCTACCGTCAGAAGAAGAAGCAGGAGATCAAGGATATATTGGGTGAGGAGCGCGAGCTCTCAGACAAGAACGAAGAGTTGCGGGCCAAGCTCAAAGATCTGCAGCTGGAGATGGGCTACCTCAAGGGTATCATGCGCGCTTTCTATCAAAAAAAGGGCTTAATTAAATAAAATAGTACTTGAATAAATAAACATATATGAAAAAGTGTTTGTTGTCCTTGTACCCCCAGAGTTCTCATTCGCTTACCATGTGGTTACCAAAAATGTGAAACATTTCAAATTTTTGGGGTGAAAGAAAATTTGTGGTAGCTAGACGGTGGAAAGAGATAAGAGCTTTGGACGTTTCATGGCTAACAATGTACACTTTTTGCTAGTTGAACGTCGTTTCTCCATACTCCACGATAAAGCTTCGTATTTCACAATTTTTTTCATCCCCACTTTGATTATACTTGTACCAATAATTGGCTGGACGCTCTTTGTTATCTTAATTCTTGACATACGAGTTGATGTTAAATATTATTCAAGTCTGGCATGGTTCACGAAATCCTTGTTATTTTTAAATTTATGTATGATTCTGAGGATTGAAAACTATTGAATTGTTCTCAACGAACAATATACAAATTGAAAGCAATAAGAAGCAAATAAGTGTGGCACCACGAGGATATTCAACTTTCACCGACATATGATTCAAACTTGACCCTTTTCTTTGGTCGTTCTTACTATAATCTATATATAATCATCTATACACGTATTTTATAACGGCTCTCTTAAAGTAATTTTTTCCGTAATTTTACATACTTACCATCTTTTACAGTAAAGAGAGAGACTTTGCTTTTATAAGCAAATATCATTATTTTTATTATTATTATTATTATTATTTTTATTATTATTGTTATTCAGTGTTTTTTCTTATTCTTTATACATAATAGTATGTATGACCTGTATCAATTTACCATTTTTTTTCTTAATCGTCAAAACCACGATTTCACCAATATAATAACAAGGTAAACAGATTTAATAGGTTTTTAGTAGTTCTAATACTGTAATAATACTTAATTTAGTCTTTCCCCTCAGACTTGTGCTCGCGTATATTCTATGTGTAATGTACAACAAATTTGTGCACTCGTGGCGGCTAAACCAACAACATTTCTGTTGTCCGTAAGCTTATCGAGTATTGCAGGTTTAGAATGGTTTAATCGTCGATGTATGTAATAATAAAAAAAAAAAATATCACACTTCCACACAGCGTGCATTTAATTAATCAGCCGTCAGTGTGCGTCAACTAACATCCACTTGTAAATTAATAGCGGCAGTTTGAAGCAGTGAAAAATTATTTGTACAATCCTCTTTTACCAAACGAAGCGACGTGTGTACTGAAAGAAACGAAAAATAGAAAATTGTGTTTGCGTGGGAGACGACAATGATATTTTTCCTTTCTATTCTAAAACTGCGATCAAATAAAATTAAAGAAATGTTTGTCGATTCTGCGCAAGTCGTTGCCTCGTCGACGCAAAACCAGCGACCCCATGACATCTTCTCACGGAAGGTTGAAACCCGTCGTTGGCGTCGCGTCGATTTTCAGGCAATTGCTCTCCGTGTATAGGAACTCATTCCAGATGATAATTGTTTTAAATTAATTGCATATACCTTTAACCCTCAGCCTATATGTATAAACACACACATAATTTGTAGTTACGACGTGTCCTTTTTCCGGATCTCCGAGCCTCGTTGAAAGGCACTGTCGTATATGGCAATCGAAAAAACTTGAGCAAATAAATGTGGGTTATCGAAGAAAACCTTTGTCCAACTTTTTTGTTCCCCCTCCAACTAGACCTAATTAAGTAATTGTTGTCGACATCATCATCGTTCTCAGCACTTGAGCTGTGAAGATAAGCTGATTTTTCGGAAAAAACATTGTTGTAACGACGAAACACGTATAATATGTGTGTATATACCCTCGGGCAGTCGAAAAAGATAAAAAAGCAAGCTGTGCATTCATTTATCGTGCGTGCATTTGTTACACCAACTCGCGCCCCGACATCCTTTTTTTTAGTTTTTCGAGGCGTGTGGACGCTCTCTCGGCTCTGTCCTTTCAGTATTACTTACTTACCTATACCTACCAGATTACCACGCACTCACCGAATGCTGAAACTGCCGAGTAGCTGATCTTACACAACCAGTGGAACATACATACGTGAGTGAATATTTAGTATTGTTGAGCTTACAGGTACTATAATATCGGACGAAAGTGCAGAACAGACACGTTACTTTAGACACTATAGAGAAATCGGTAACTTATTTACACACTCAGACGCACCACGCCCAAGTAAACACATTTTCTTTAGATTTTTTGTAGGTGTCTAATGTCTATATCTGAAAGACCTGGGGAGTCTCGGAGGTATAACTCCCCAAAGATGTTTTCCAGATGGACATTGGAAATCTACAAGACATCAACAAGAAATTTTGAGAAAATGTGTTTACTGGGGCGATTACCTACTGATGTGCTAATGTACAATAAATTACGTGTGTACGTGCATCTGTCACTTACCGTTGACGATTTTTTTGTTCTTTCTTACGAGTCACAACTGTAATTTCAGCTCCTTGCGTTTAACTTTGTCGTTTTTTTTTCTTCTTTGATATATGTGATTTCATACTTTTTTCGACCGAGATCGTTAATACGCGCTTGTATAGGAAGTGAACAATTACCGTATTAATCGTATTTGTCGGCGTTCTCAGAGTCATTGGTTTCATATTGGCATCGGAATTCGCGCTTGAAAACTTTCCGATCGACAATTGTCGCAAACGGATATAAACACACGCGTCTTTTGTGCGTGTTATTTTCTATTCAATCGATCCTACGCAGATCGGTACATGTATAGAGTTTGCAGAGATCGCCGAGAGGTGATTGGAGTATGTACACAAAAGTGTATAATTAATCTACATTACATACGATAGTTGGAGTGTTACTCTGTATTATAATATTCAAGCAAAAGAATTATATACATGTACTCGAAACGGTTCTGTCGCGAGACCGCAGTCTTTAAAAATTCTTTCTTTGCCAGAAGCACTACCAAGTAAACGCACGTACTGTACTTGAGTAGTGTAATATACAGTCGGCAATTGTAAGTCCAAACAAAAAAAATGCTGTTCGTTTGTGTTGAATAGGTACTACTTTGTGTTCAAATTGTGAAATAAAATGATCTTGCATTTCTCTTATCTAGCCGATAACGTTAATATATATTATACTTTACGTGTGCGGAAACTGCGCTCCTTGTGTTGGGTTATATTGTTTGAACACACGCGCTTATACTTTTACTCACTTTTGCAAGTGTCGAGCGAGAGATAAGAAAAAACAAAATTAAAAAAGAAATGAATCAATGAGGAATTAGCGCAACTTATATCGAATCTGTTTCACGTACACGCAAACTGAAAGAATTGGAGCAACAGCAGCGAATCATCGTCCACACCATCAGTCTGTGAATTAAATAATATTATAATATGGGCGGAAAAGTTAGTAAGAGGAGTTTCTCACCTGCGGCGAATGAAAGTAAAAACCTTGGTGACACTAGCAACCAGAGCACCAGCCCCAACAAGTCGATCGGTCAAAAGAGCGAGGAGAGCCAGTCGCCACCACCAGTAGTTGATAAAGGTTGTAACTTTTTTTTTTTTTTTTTTTTTCATCACCAATTCTTGATTCAAAACCGTCTCATGTATGATACCATCTGTGTACTTACCTATGTTTTTATACACTTCTTTTGTATTGTATCTTACGATACAATTCTTTTCTCTTGCTGCATCTCAAACGTATATAGTATACAGTCTTAAAATGTGTATTTATTTTTTAAGTTAAACTTTTACTGTTTTCTACCTTGAATCTTAGCCAGTTTTAATCAACTTTCAAAACTATACACTGGAGCTATTCACATAGACATTTTTTGCTTATTTCATTGTGAACGTTCATGGGTGTGTTCCAGTAACGCTCTCCGACAACTTACCGACAACTTAATTATGTCTTACGATGTCTTGCGTCATGTTTAAGTTATCGGTAAGTTGTCGGAGAGTGCTACTGGAACACATGGCATATTGAAAAGAGGGTTCCACTGTTCCGCTAAACTCAAATTGAGTGAACAGACTGAGCAGACCTATACTGTGTTCTCTGTCAGTCAACATAGTTGCGACCATAATACTTATATGTAGTTGCCTGATGGAAAAAGAGGTGAGTATAGGTCTGTTCAGTCTGTTCACTCACTTTGAGTTTAGCGGAACAGTGGAACCCCCTTTTCAATATGAACGTTTACAATTCATAATGAAATAAGCAAAAAATGTCTATGTGAATAGCTCCATAGGCTTTCAATAACCTAATCTCAGCTTATATTATTTTCTTTGAGTTTTTCAAGTTATGTTTATTTAACATCTGAATTCTGAACAAGTAAATCCTTGCTCATTTATTTTTCTACAAATATATATATAGGAGCGCTTTGATCGTGAAAGCTTTTCAAGAATCTCATTGACAAAAGGAGAGCTCTCTGCAGATGAGGCCTCTGACGAGAGAGCAGCACTATACTTATAGCAGAAAGCATATACTTATATATACGCAGCTTACGCTTTTGGTCGTCTGTTGCAGTTGCAGAGTGCTGCTACTGCAGCAGTTTAATTTAGGTGCAGGAACGTAATATACGCTTACCAAAAACAATAATAAATTACATTTTTTCCAAGCTTTCGTGTGCATATACGTATGTAATGTAATTTTGATTTTCGAAATTCAAGTTATTTTTTTTAATAACTATACATGATAACAAACTAAAAACAAGGTTTCAGAGTTCAGTGCTTTGAGGTTAGGTTTAACAAACCCATATCGAGAGAGCCACCCTTTTGATCCTCTAATCCTTAAAGTCCAAAAAACCGTGTGAATAATCTCTTTATCATTTGTTGAGTAATCACTTGCAAGATTAATAATAACAGTGGCCTTATTTTTGTGTCTGCAGCGATTAGTAGAGCACCAGCTCAGTGAGAACGTAACACACGGTGACTGAGCGAATTTCGAGTGGTCTGGCATGGCCGGCGCTATGTTGTTCGAGCGGGCGCAGGCGGTTTCAACGACTAACCGTAGTGAGGGTATCAACCTCCTCAATGAGATTGTCTCGGATCCTAACATCGGGATGGCCCAGGACGACGAGGACAGCATTAGGGTCAAGGAGCAGGGCATTCTGCAGCTTGGCGAGCTCTACAAAAAGGAGGGCAAGGCCAAGGAACTCGCCGAGCTCATCAAAGCCACCAGACCCTTCCTCAGCCTTATCAGCAAGGCCAAAGCTGCTAAGCTCGTCAGGTCGCTTGTTGACTTCTTTCTTGACCTCGAGGCTGGCATTGGTATTGAGGTGAGTCGTGATTCCTATTTATGATACATGTACATTCTGAGTATTCTGACCCACATAATGAGCAACAGTTCATTTGTATTTGTCATGCTTTTGATTTTATCATCTATTTGCTGACAAATAAATGATTTTTATTACAAAAATAGTGTTATTAAGAACTATTTTTATATATTATTCAAATGAAATAAGTATTTAGAAGAAAAAAAACAAATCTCTTTGTTTCTTTGTGTTCTAAAAATAAACTTTTGAGCAAACGCATCATCTTGGATTACTTTTTGCTGCTATTGTTCCAGACTTCTTTTTCTTTATACAAAAAAATATATGGCGGAACTCCAATCAAAGATCATATTGTTTTTTTAGGTACAATTGTGTAAAGAATGCATAGAATGGGCAAAAGAAGAGCGGCGAACTTTTTTGCGACAAAGCCTAGAGGCAAGACTGATTGCTCTGTACTTTGATACTGGTATGTATGCGGAAGCTCTGCAGCTCGGCTCTGCGCTATTAAAGGAGTTAAAAAAGCTGGATGACAAACAATTATTGGTTGAAGTGCAGTTATTTGAGAGCAAAACTTATCATGCCCTAAGCAATCTTGCCAAAGCAAGGGCCGCTTTGACGAGTGCTAGGACCACGGCAAACGCAATCTATTGTCCGCCCAAAATGCAAGCTGCCCTCGACCTTATGTCGGGTATTTTGCATGCTGCTGACGAACGAGATTTCAAGACTGCTTATTCTTATTTTTACGAAGCTTTTGAAGGGTACGAGAACAAATATTCGCGGATCATAATTTTATCTGTATACAATTTTTTTCTCAAAAGCGTTGATTTGAAAAAAAATTTCTTAAAGATACGACAGCGTCGAAAGCCCCAAAGCTCTGACAGCGCTAAAATACATGTTGCTCTCAAAAATTATGCTACGCTCGCCTGAAGACGTCCAAACGATCATGTCAGGAAAACTTGCTGTCAAATATGCTGGGCGTGATCTAGATGCAATGAAGGCAGTAGCTGAAGCAAGCCATCGTCGTTCCCTTGCCGACTTTGAAACTGCGCTTAAACAATATCACCAGGAACTGAAGGAAGATGTTATCGTGCGAGCTCACCTCGACTCGCTGTACGACACAATGCTTGAGCAAAATCTCTGTCGAATTGTTGAACCCTATTCACGCGTTCAGGTAATTTGAAAATCAACTTACTCATTTTGACAAAGTATTTTAATCTAAGAAGTATTCAATCTTTGTTAGGTCGGTCACATAGCGTCATGCATATCTCTGTCGATCTCGCAAGTAGAAAAGAAGTTGTCGCAAATGATTTTGGATAAAAAACTGCGTGGAGTTCTCGACCAAGGAGAAGGTGTTCTCATAGTCTTTGAAGAGACGCCAAGAGATAAGACATACGAAATTGCTCTAGAAACGGTTCACAGTATGGGCAAAGTCGTGGACACACTCTATCAGAAGGCTAAGAAGCTTACCTAGCCTTATTTAAGTGAACTTTGTACAATTAACAAACTATTATAATTATTATTACTATTAACGATTAAATTCTTATTAAATTCCGGCAGATTTATTGCACTCTTTTTTTAATTTAGATTAGTAAAGTTTGCAATTCTTTAATTTACCATACGTTTGATGATTTTCTAATTTTCTGCACCTGATTGTTGAAAAATTGTCATTCATCTAAATTTTACCCACGAAATTAATAGTATTAAATTGTAGACAATCATTGTTTTTGAGAATATTTTTCGCTTATTAAAATTTGATAATACAATTTGAATAAACAACCGAGTAAAGCAAAATAACTTGTTTTTTTCAGCTCTAATATATCTGAGCAACTATTAAGCCAAGAAAAGTATCATTGGGAAGATCGGCGTTATTGATTGTAACATATAAATGTACTTTTCCATAAGTTTGATGGTTTTATTGATAATGATTTAATTGAAAGAATTTCGATAGTTTTATTATTACTTTATTTTTTCATTTGTAATGATGTCTGGTAAAAGTTTGCTATTAAATTACATCTTATCATTTATTGTTGTGAAATACAACTTAATGATTATTGATTATTAAAATATAGTATATTTTATGGTTTGGTTTGGTTTGATTTATAAATAATACGTATGTCTACAGCTGCAGTTGCGAGAAACATATTTAATTAAAGCATTACGCAACAATATACACAAAAATTAATTTTGTTAAATAAATTAATTTAAAACATTTAAACGTTTTCTAACGTGTTTACAGTACTTTTTTTTATTCCAACAGCTTATTTATAAATATTTCTCATCAAAGAAATACATAAATTTCCTCTGAAGCGGATATATATATATATTCAATACATAGAGTTCAGGTAAACTGTTATTACGATAGTCTTATAAAAGCTAGTTTTATTTTTCAACAAAACACTCGATGACAGTAGTAACAAAGAAATTTTAAAAATAAAAAACGTCAACCAAGCATGTAAAGCCAAATGCTAGCTACACCAATCATTGGTTCCGTCATACCATTACGTTAAGAAATTGTAAGGTCTTTGATCAACAATATTAATGCATTGGACATCAAATCCAACCCTGCGTCGTATTTTTTTGGAATGCATCTAGAATTCGTATAGAGGAACTGCACTTGTACTCTTAAGTGGTAATCCATCCCTTATTCTTTTTTATAAGTATATTGCGATAAAAATTTAAAGTTGCAAGAAGTAAGTAGGTATAAATAAATAATTAAGTACTTAAATCATTCCTTAGACTCGTAGGCAACAAACAGTTGTTTATAAGAGAAAGATTCACGACTGGAAAACAAAAATCTCCTATGTCTCAACACAGCTCACGCAGTTTTAGGTAACTGAACAATAATTCTTGCTGTTTTTGCTGTTTTCACTCCCATGCCACCGATATTTCGGAGTTTGTTGACATGCGGAATCCACCGAGCCGAGCGCCGAGCCCCAACTGTCACCGACTATTTCACTGTTTGAATGTTAGTACAGGGTACAGGTTGACGCTAGCACTGGCACAGCACCGCCCGACCATGCGGCGTTACAACGATCTACGTAACTTAACTGCTGACAGCATTTGCGGAATACAGCCTCTCTGATTTTATCATTCTGGTAACGAGAGCACGGTGTACAATATTACGTGAAGTTATGTGTAGTGATTATAGTAATCACTACTAAGTCTAAGTAGTGCCATATGATTGATTTTATTAAATCATAAGTAGAACATCTGTAATTTTGGAGGAAGATTTTCGGGTGAAAAATAAGTTGTATACTTGTCGCAAATAGCACAGACAATGTTCACTTTTTATTGTCTATCTATAAAATTAGTTGCGGCTGGTTTATAATCGATAACATGGCTCTACTGTAAGTTGTAATAATTATTAGGATCAGCGCCACCTAGCGGTCGAAACTTTTTTGGCCAAAAATTGCTTCTGAAATTCTGAAGGAGAGCTTTAGGCAGTTTAGCTCTAGAGCCATTTACTCAATTATAAACCAGCCGCAACTAATATCAAACATGTAAAATAAAAGTTTACGTTGTCTGCACTGTTGGCGGCAAGTTTACAATTTATCTTTTACCCAAAAGTATAAATATATAGTAGGTGGAAGATATTCAGGTAGAAGATAAATTGTAAACTTGCCGCAAACAGCACAAACAATGTCAAATTTTTATTTTATATCTACAAGATTGGTTGCGGCTGGTTTATAATTGACTTAATGGCTTTAGGGCCTAAACAGCCTAAAGCTCTCCTTCAGAATTTCAGAAGCAATTTTTGGCCAAAAAAGTTTCGACCGCTAGATGGCGCTGATCCAAATAATTATTANACTTATAGTAGAGCTATTTAATCAATTATAAACCAGCCGCAACTAATTTAATAAATATAAAATAAAAAGTTAACGTTGTTTGCACTGTTGGCGGCAAGCTTACAATTTATTTTTCACCCGAAAGTATAAATTTATAGGTGGTCGATTTTCGTGTAAAAAATACATTGCAAACTTGCCGCAAACAGCATAAGTAATGTTAACTTTTTATTTTGTATCTACAAAATTAGTTGCGGCTGGTTTATAATTGATTAAATAGCTCTACTATAAGTGGTAATAATCATTTGGATCAGCGCCATCTAGCGGTCGAAACTTTTTTGGCCAAAAATTGCTTCTGAAATTCTGAAGGAGAGCTTTATGTCTTTTAGGCCCTAGAGCCATTTACTCAATTATAAACCAGCCGCAACTAATATCAAACATGTAAAATAAAAGTTTACGTTGTCTGCACGCTTGGCGGCAAGTTTACAATTTATCTTCTACCTGAATATCTTCCACCTACTACATATTTATACTTTCGGGTAAAAGATAACTTGTTAACTTGCCGCCAAGCGTGCAGACAACGTAAACTTTTATTTTACATGTTTGATATTAGTTGCGGCTGGTTTATAATTGAGTAAATGGCTCTAGGGCCTAAAAGACATAAAGCTCTCCTTCAGAATTTCAGAAGCAATTTTTGGCCAAAAAAGTTTCAACCGCTAGATGGCGCTGATCCAAATGATTATTACCACTTATAGTAGAGCCATTCAATCAATTATAAACCAGCCGCAACCAATCTTATAGATATAAAATAAAAATTTGACATTGTTTGTGCTGTTTGCGGCAAGTTTACAATTTATCTTCTACCTGAATATCTTCCACCTACTACATATTTATACTTTCGGGTAAAAGATAAATTGTTAACTTGCCGCCAACAGTGCAAACAACGTTAACTTTTATTTTACATGTACGATATTAGTTGCGGCTGGTTTATAATGGAATAAACAGCTCTAGGGCCTAAACTGCCTAAAGCTCTCCTTGAGAATTTTAGGGCCACTTTTTAGTTCAGAAATCCGCAACGCTAGATGGCGCTGAACCAAATAATTATTACAAAATAACTTACAGTATATAGAGCCATATAATCTGTTTGCGGCAAGTATACAATTTATTTTTTACCCGAAAATCTTCTTCCAAAAGTATAGATGTTCTACTTATGATTTAATAAAATCGACCATATGGCACTACTTAGACTTAGTAGTGATTACTATAATTACTACACATAACTGACATAATTTCACGTATACCTTACACCGTGCTCTCTTTACCAGACCAGAATGATAAAATCCAAAGTAAATATAAGTATAAAGTTTACATATATATTGAACAAATTTCTTTCCCACATAACGATGTAACAATTAGAAGCTGTACTTTATAAGTAAAATGAAATAGAAACCGTCTGCTTTGCAACTTGTGTGCGCGCTTTCGTGCACTTGTATGTATATGTATATAATAAATACGTGCTATTGACACTATTCGGCTATAATTGTGCAATTTGTGCACTCTTCGACTCTTCTGCCCTTCTGCGTTTTTTATTTTATGTAGATGTCGTGACCGGGCAATGATGTCGCCCCGTGTTGTCCCCGCTCAGTCTGCGTCTGTTCGTGTGTACGAAAAGGTGAAAGGGCATCAGGAGCAGAGAGTGCCTCTGATCTATGCCTAAAGTAAAGTGCCAATAAAAAGTGCAGTGCGGGTACATTTTTAGTGTGCATAAAGATAGGTATGGCCATTTAAACTGAGAGGATAAAAAAATATAGTTGGGAGCACCATCAGCAGCTGGCCTGCAGGCTCTCCTCTGTTTTTTCGGTTGTCTGTATACCTAGGTACATAGCATTGTTGGCATAGAGATCATTTTCCTGGCCTTTTGTACAGTAAACCAATCAATCCAGTACAGCTACATCAGCGACAGCAAAGAACTGTCTGCGAAGCGAGTGATTTAAGTGAAGCACAGAAGCTACAGCAGGTGCATTAAAGAGAGAAGAAAAGCAACTTATTCCAAGAGAAAAGGAGCAGGGAAAAGAGTCTCGGAGTCGTGTATAGCTCCAAGGTAAATTGAACGCATTTATATTTTATTGGACAATTAACAAAAAAAAAAAAAAGAATTAACCGCTCACGTTTTAACCTAATTTTCCGTGTTGGACGGTGGAAAGAGACAGCATGTACACGTTGTAAATAGCTTACTACATGGAATTAGGTATAAAAAAAAAGAGAGCCCCCCTCAAGGCCTGTACTAGTTGCAAGGTACACATGCACGTACACTTACCAACTAACTCTTGCTTCCACCATGATAGCGACCGCTGTCTAATTTTACTTTTTTGTAGCACCCGCGTGCGTATCTCTTCCTCTCTAAGTATATGGAACTCTAGAGCATTGAGTGTGCTTGTCTTCAGATTAGAAAATTAAATAAAGTAAATAAATTGATTAAATACAGCGAGGGAACAAGAAGTGTACTATACCTTATGTATTTGACAGACATGTGTACTGACTTATCTATTTACATGCGTGATGCGTCATTTGTATTTGACGTACAGGACGAGTATTTATTTATTTTTTTCTTTTGTCAACTCGACCAGTCGAACCCCCTGAACATTTAAATACACGCTTATGTATGTGTAAGTGCATGAATGTTTATGAAAGCAGACCGTCTGCTCTTGAAGGACTTGAAGCTTATAGTTTAAGTTTAAAGTGAAAAGTGAGTCACTCACACTAACACGGGTCCGCTAATCATGTACACGTGTGTCATGCCTGCCTCTTATGAGCTGTAGTGATTATTGTGGCGATGAGTAAGAGTGAGTCCAAGAAAGAGATTGTGAATAACATATACTTACACACAAAATCAAGCGCGTGAACTCTTATTATCTCGAATCTTTTTTTATTTTAATTTTTTTTTTTCATTCAAATAGCAGTTAAATAGGTCATACGAAAGGTATACTTCAAATATTTTCTTACACTTTTTGATCAAAGGTGAGCAACAACAATGCCAGCACCACCGCCTCCACCTGCACCCACGTTCAACCTGGGAGCAGGGTCGCCGGAACAAGACAGAGGAGCGTTGCTCCAATCTATCAGGGCTGGCAAACAGCTCAAGAAAACGGTTACTGTTGATAAAAGTGGCCCTGCTATTGCTGGTAAGTTTGTATTTCACTCTACTTTTAAAAATAGTTAGATGGTTAAAACTAACAGGTCTCTGTGAACTTTGTTGTTTGTTGCAGGTAAAGTCAAAGGAGAGAGCACTAGTACTTTAAGCACCACAAATGTAAATACAAGGTCTAATGTAGCGAGTAATAAGGGAAATAGTATTAACAATGGCAACTCCATGGGTTTGGGAGGCCTATTTGCCGGTGGCATGCCTAAACTCAAACCAACTGGTATGAGAAACAATCTGGCAGAAAGAGACAATGGTAATGGACCTGTAAACATGGGATCAGCTACGTTACCAAGTGCCAAACGTGGACCGCCACCTATGCCACCGTCAGCTGCACAGAAACCACAGATATTTGCCCAAAAAGTTACAGAGTCTAGCGCGAATTACAGCCCAGAGACTCCAAAAATATCTTTTGGAAAACCAACATTGGCACCAAAGCCACCTACGACGTCTTTGAGTGGAGTACAGCAAAAACCCTCACCACCGCCTAAAAAACTCAATCTCACAATAAGCAATTCAGTTTCAAGGTAAGTTGTTCAATTATCATCTTCTAAGACTGGAAAGAACTAAGCGTTGTATTAACTTAGTAACGTTAACTAAAACAAATTAATTAGTTGTTTATCAATTTACTATATCACATGATATTAGTATCATGAATTTCTTAACAAGTGCATTGAATTTTAAAAAGTAGGTGGGTGTTGTAACCTTATTGTTATTGACCTTGTTCTCATATTCTTTAGTTTCTATGGCCTCTGGTGCTTAACCGTGCATTTTAATTGTTCCGCTGACAACGGGTACATTATGTTACAGAAACGTTCTCGCAATTGCTATTTTTTCACCAAAACAATTTATTAAAAATTAAAAAATTTTTTTTTTTATTTATAAAAATTTAATAATATTGATAAACAACTTATTTTTATGAATTAAAAACATTTTCTAAACTTTAACGGGATACTGTACATGTTACGTTGTGTTTATTTACGAATAATTTGAGCATAGATAGAATTTTGAAGCTGTCTAGGAGTAAGTCGGAACTTTCGTTACATGAAATGATAACTAGTACTAATCGACATATTGTCACTCCCCTCACAATTTTCGTTGCTCCTTTAGATATGTTTGGACATGAAATTACTGTTTTTAAATCGAATCTAATGATATTTTTCAACTTTCAACAACGCGTTTAAAATTNCTGTTATAGCAAAAAAATAGATGAATAGTCACATTTATAAATAATTTTTTTTTCACTAAAAGCTTTCATTAAAAAATAGTTATGGATTTGAACGTTACAAGTTTGCACAAGAAAATATAAATCTTATGTTGTCGTTGTATAATAATTCCCACACCTTGCACAAAAACATCAATGAAGTAATTAATTTCTTAAATAATTTTGTATTACAAAAATTTGTTCTACAGATTGAAAATCAAATGAAAATATTTTTAAGACCTATAACAAATAATGAAGCTTTTCGTAAAGCCAGATTTATTTTAAACAAGCACGAAAATGTTTTTAATGATTACCTAACAGAACACCAATGATTTAAACTATTTAGAAGTTGCTGTTATTTCATTCCATCTGTGTTAAAAGAGATCGAAAAAGAACTGAAACACGAGATTGATTTGAAAGGTGGGTCAGCTACTGCAATGAAATCTGTATACGCTGCTACTGTGTCGCTCAAAGTTAGTTTAAGATATTTTGTAGAGAAGCCGGGAATGTTTAATGTAACCATGAAGTTTGTTGCTGACCTTAACAATAACAATACTTTTCTACGGAATATAACACAAGGAGAGCTATGAAAACGTTAATATCATGATAGCTCAAAAATTTTTACATAGTGTTATTTTTCTATTGTGATGAGTTTGAAACTCGAGACCCCTTAGGCAGTCATGCTGGCTTACAAAAAATGTGTGGATGCTGTACTTCACTAGCTAGTTTGCCACCAAGTATCTCTGCTAAAAAAAAAATATTTTTTTTGTGAGCTTATTCCGTTCTAAGTATTTAAGAAAATTTGGCAATGACCCAGTAATTTCCCACGTAATTAATCAGTTAAATAAATTGTCTGACATGAGGTTAGTAATTCAAGTCAACTACTCTGAAATTAAAATATTTTTTCAGTGTCTTCTCGTACTTGGAGATAACTTGGTCTGAGCTCCATTTGTGGTTTTCAAGAAAGTTTTTCAGCTGAATTATCTTCTAGGATTTGCACGGCTACAACAACAGTATGATGTCTAATGACGAAAGAAAATAACAGATTGTTAAGAAATACAAAAGCACATAACGAGGCCGTACAAAACGATAATTTGTCGAGTACCGGCATGAAACAGCCCTGTACTTTAAGAATTCAAAATTTTAATTACGTTGAATTCGAAAAAAATGATACACTGCTACGCTTGGTTCTTTCACCTGACGATGGCGGACAGGGCCTAAAAGTGAGGCAGTCTGCGTTTGAAATTCTATGTTTAGCAAGAAATATGGGATTGATCTTAGGCAATGTGATTCCACCAGGAAATAAGCTATGGGAGGTCTACTTATAAAAATAATCAGAGTTTTTACAAGCCCTATGTTTACTCGAGGCCAAATTAAAAGCGCTCTAGAACTTGTGCAGAAACACAATTAACTGTACCTAAAATACTTTGGCGCACTAAAACACAAAATGCCATTTTAAGATCACTACATAACAGTAATGTTGTTAAATAATGCAGCCTTTTATTATTCAGCAATAAAATTTAAAAGGAAGAATTGGAAAATCAAACAGACAGCTGTTAGCATAAGTACGAATATTAACTTACCCATGACCATGGCGATAAGACATCACTTACGGATGTGTCGTAATTTAGAATATTTATCTAATCTTACTAGTGATACAGAATACAATCCCGTGAATGTTTTGAATTTAACATCTGTGGTACGATCTATTTCATCGAATATTCCGCCAAAGTACAAACTTTACAATTTGTGGAAATTCTTCGCAAACGATTTTTAAGAGGAAGTACTTTTGTGCGACAAATAATATCCGAAAATCCTCAGTATGGAATAGTTCAAGATGTATATTTAATCGATGAAAAAACATACATAGAAAAAAAAAATTTATGTACCTTATTTTTTTACGAACGTTATCATGCATATCGAGTTACAAACTCTTCAACTGAATACACTTATTTTACTTTACCAATTATCGTAACTCACAATTCATTAGTATCAATTATTGTACCTCAAATACAAGAGTATATTTAAATGAATAGAGTATATACAGATATTTTATACGGAGCTGTGTGTTACTCAGTTGTCTGCAGTAGTTACCCCCCTGATTTTTCAAGACATTTGGCAAAACCTGTTATTTTTTAATTTTGCTCATGAAAATGTTAACTTTAAAATATTTCACACAATTTAGAGCTTGATTAATTTATTTTAATCAATAATACACCTGAAACGTAAAAATAATAAAAAATCAAATTTGAAATTAATAAATAAAATGTAACAAAATTATAATGAGCTCTGCTACGAAAAGAAGCATAGTTTACACGCATATAAAAAATTAACGCACGTTAGTTATGTTTTGCTTATTGTAGCTTAAACATATATACATATAGATTTTATCTACGTTGATACGTTAAATAATCAGCAGAAGATAGTTTAGGTCACAAAACATAACGAAAAACTTAGCACGCAGTGTACTGCTGCATAACCAGATGATTTTGACACTGCACTTCAAAGCGTTGTATCTATATGTAATTAAAGTTTGTATACTACACCGTATTAGTTAAGCCGTATAAGTAAAGTTTGTATACGAGACTTAAGAGCCATGATGTACGGGACGCATCTTGGCTCTTGCCTTTGGCACTTAAGACAGTTCGAGCACTCAAGTCATCAGACCAGTGTTCCCCACCCATTATATTCGAGTGATCGTTGCATCGATCGATTAATACTATCGATGCTAACAACCATTGGCGTTAGAGGTAAGAAAATCTTGCTGTTAAGGATAGAGCCACCTAATGGGTTGGAAGCATGATACTTTCCTAGCGTTGGAGGCATGATATTTTCCTCTGTATGAAACAATATTGTTTCATAGAAGATATTATTATACTCAAAATTTTATTATTTGCCATATAATTTTATAGAAGTATAACTTTATACTTGGGTACCCAAGCAGCCACTGTCCACTGATTTTTTTAGAGGTTACGTTAGCAGAAGTAAACCTTAATTGATTTCATAGGACTACGACGAGTATAAACACATAACTCAATACAAAGTTATCTTTCGTATGTAAGCACAAAAATTTTCTTTTGCGAATTATAACCTTATTTAATGCAGACCTAAGAAAAAATTCTTGTTACCTCGAACTTTCTCGCCAGATTAGTTCTGAAAGGGATTTTGCTACAGTTTTTTTATGTTCTATGACTCTCTCTCTATACGCTGCAGATAATGTTTTATCTGTACATCCTCTTCCTTTCAGGAGCTACGACTTTTTGGAAAAGAAAAAAAAAAACATAAAAAAACACACCATGCTACTTGTAGAAAATTTTGGTCTCTTCCTTCATATTCTATTTTTTGTGATTGACTGTAGTCTGTTTTCTTTCGTGATTAAACCTTTAGGCTTATTTTTTTAAACTAACTTTTATTCTAACTTTCCATAACCTTCAAACGTTGTATTACCTTTAGTTATGTTTCAGTGTTTAATAAATGACTTTTTTATAAATTTTTTAATCCAACGTGTGCTGTGACTTTCCATAACCTTCAAACGTTGTATTACCTTTAGTTATGTTTCAGTGTTTAATAAATGACATTTTTATAAATTTTTTAATCAAATTCGTTTTCGCTCGAAATTCGTATATGTTCCGGCATGAAAACTTCAAGTTTTAGCTCGACAAAATTTGCACAGCTGGTACGAAAATGGGTTTTTAAAGAATAATTACAAAATATATCGCGATAAGCAATGATTATAAGTTTCGTGAAGCGTGAAAACCTTGAAGTTACTAAACTGATAATAAAATAACAATTGAGAGTTACCTAATTTTTCGAGGTTTGTCCTTTTATTACTTCGCTTTATATTATCTTCTAATTATTTATCAAATAAATTTAATTTTATGCATTTATATACATGTATAAATATACAGAAGGATGAAAAATTAATATTAGTTTTTACAAAAATGAAGTGCATGCGTGCGAAGACTAAGCAAAAATAATCTTTTCTCATTTTATATTTCCCTCAAGGATAATAACTACCAAACAACAGTGCATAATAATATTGATAAACAACTTATTTTTATGAATTAAAAACATTTTCTAAACTTTAACGGGATACTGTACATGTTACGTTGTGTTTATTTACGAATAATTTGAGCATAGATAGAATTTTGAAGCTGTCTAGGAGTAAGTCGGAACTTTCGTTACATGAAATGATAACTAGTACTAATCGACATATTGTCACTCCCCTCACAATTTTCGTTGCTCCTTTAGATATGTTTGGACATGAAATTACTGTTTTTAAATCGAATCTAATGATATTTTTCAACTTTCAACAACGCGTTTAAAATTTACAAAAATATGAGTAACTCTTGAGTAATTAAATAAACGCATGTATTGAAATTTGTATCAGGATATATAACATTCACTTTTCTGTGTTGATACTCGGCACTTAAAAAATTTTAGCAATTCAAGGTGGAAAAACAATAAATTTTCACGTGCTTTAGAAACAGCTTTAAAAATCATCGTTCATTACTTCATTTTGCAGAGCACAGAGTATGCGAATACCACGCTCACCACCGGTGTTGGCACCGACGCCGTCTTCGCTGCACCAGTCTCAGGATTGCCTGAACGAGCCTCAACACAGGCCTATGATCACACGAGTGCTGAGGCCACCGCAAGCGAGGCCACCGTCACCGCCCACATCCCGAGCCCCGAGTAACAGCAGTAGTGGCAGCGGCACCACGAGCAACGGAGTGCCAATCACGAGGGTTGCTCCTCCACCCCCAACCCGGGCACCGTCTATGCCTCCCCCGCCGCCGCCACTACCGTACCGCACCTCGTCCACGGTGATGCCGAGTGGTGGAAGCACCCCTATCATGACGATGGCAACAACGATAAGGCAGGCACCACCAGCACCACCACCCCCGACGCCACCAACGCGAAGCCAATCTCTTCAGCAGCGCAACGGGCTGGGACACACTGATTTGGAGTTGCGCTTTGCCGAAATGTTTCATTCGATAGCTACTTTCCCAGCGCCCGCGCCCTTCCGTGGCATTCCTAAAGTCTACAACAGCAAAACTGGTGAGCCTCTTGGCCAGAATGTCCGGGCCTATGGGGGATTGTTTAACTTTGCTCTTAAAAGGCAGTCCTCTCAGTTCGATGTTTAACTTTTTACCTCTAGCCGTTTTTTTTTCTTTCTTACCTCTTCTATCTCGTCAAGTTTCAACTAGTCTGTTACTTTCTTGCGTGCTAATTTTGGTTCTATGTCAAATGGGTTTAATGTGAATTTTTGCAGTATAAAGTTATTTGGTATTGCTTTGAGTCGAGCAGTTTACATACAATCGTAATGTTAATAATTTTTTTTACCCATGTTATATGATTGTTTGAATGTTAATCTATTGTCAAGCATAGATTCTAGTAGAGTTCTTAGCATTCAAGCATTGTATGGATTTAATTTATTAACATTGTTAATTTTTTTTCAATTTGACATTAAACCTTTTTACTAATTTTTTCTTTACTAAAACATTTAAAACAACGCTTTAAGTATACAAAACACTAAACTGTTATGCTCTACAAATTATAAATCTATAGGAAATCGCTGATGATACATATGTAAAAGCATACTTGTTAAGAATTGTTTGTAGTTAGTGGCATAATTATTATTATTTTTTTTTGTCCACCACCCAATATGTAAATATAAATGAAAGATTGTTAGTTCCGATTTCCGTTTCTTTACTTTTGACATGGCTTCATCATCCTCTTTTATTAAAACACAAAATTAACAATAATCTAGACACTATTTGCATGAGATTCTATTTGGCATTTGTCAAATTGGTCTAGTCATTTATTTTAATGAGTCTAATAAAGGAAAATCAACACAAAGTTAAGGAGCAAATCTCATTGCAACTAATATAACTAAGCAAGCTGTAACAAAATGCACTATAACTTTTTCACTCACTGCTTCTCAAGCCCAACGCAGCCTCTTGTTTAGCCATACTAACAAACTAATGAAAAGCCTAAAAGCTGTGCTTTTTTGGACAACAGGCAGCCTTTGCCGCCATAAAAATCTGCATGTCGCCAACTAGAAAACGTTTTCTCTCTCTATCCAGCATGCGTCTATAAATTTTATCAAGTGTATTGTATTGTACTCTAACTACTTTCCTTTTTTCCGAACATAAAGCAAAAAATGATGATGGAATTCTTAATTTTTTTGGGTTTTTTTTTTTATTTTTTTTTTTATTACTTCGTGCCGCAAAACTGTTGCCACAGCCGCTGCACAGAAACAGCAAGCGCCCGCACCGCCCCAGCGTTCAGTATCCAGCGTAGGAAGTATTGTGCTCCACTCGCCCGGCTCGAGAAAACAGCCGCCCCAGCCACCAGCACCTGCGGCATCGCAGCAGTGGCAGCAGCAGAACGCAGCCTCGTCGGCCTGCTAAGGACGGCTCCGCTCTTGTCTATGCTTTCTCCTCCCCTGCAATCGTCAAGATAACAGTCCCGATGATCAGCCTGTGTAGACTGTTGCTGCTATTGTTTTGTTGTTGTTGCTGTTGTTATTGTTGTTGATAATAATCATGAAATAATATTATGAGGGAAAGCCGATGACCAAGAGAATAATCACGTAGATTTATTTACGATACCGTTGTTTCACTGCATAAATACGTAGAGATGATTAGGAAGGGAAATATACAAGTGTATGTTTTTTTTTGTCTTCTTGTGGAGGACTCTTCGACCGACGCATTATTTGTGTGGATGTGTCTTTTTGTATGCACGTGAGAAAAAGAGAGAAAAAAAATATATAAGAAGAAAATGCACATGAGTATTGTATGTGGTGGTGATGGTGAGCGATTAATCAAGATCAGTTTTCATATACTACAACACTGGACACGTCAAAGGCGTGCGTTGATAACGTAATCGAAACGCTGCATAAAATNTCATATCTATATAAATATATACACCAAATAATGATGGTGTACGTGTATTGTGAATGCGTAGAATGTATGGAAAAAAAAAGACAGAAATACTTTAAAGTGCCCCCCTTCGCACAAATGTTGTTAAAATATACCTACATACACACGAACACACATGTATATATCGCAGTAACTCCTCGAATTTTCTTGAGAGAGCAATTATTTATGAGATCCGAAATACGTGTCGCGCGCGTGAGACTTTTCTAGTTTTTGTTGCTATTGTATTATCAATGTTTTTCATTATAACTGGTTGTTTGTGGAAATTCAATTGAGAGATCGTTGAATTTTTCTATATTAAAAGAAATTATATCGTTAAACATTTTTATAAATTTTTTAATCAAATTCGTTTTCGCTCGAAATTCGTATATGTTCCGGCATGAAAACTTCAAGTTTTAGCTCGACAAAATTTGCNTAATGTAATCGTTAAAAGAAAAAACTAACAAATTCTTTGTAAAATATTTTGGTGGCATGCTCGCAATTTTTTTTTTTTGCCAGAGTATCTAATTACTACTTCTTGAGGATAGTAATCTTTCAAAGATTCAAAGAAATAAATTGTGATAATCTTTTTTTTCCTTTTTTTTAATTTATATGTATGTTAACAAAAATATTAGAACATTGCGTATCATATAATTTAGTAAAAAATAAATTTTATTTATATGAACTCTATTGTATTCATTAACTAATTTACTGAACACTTTTTTTTTATTCATTAGCAGTCACATGTTTTAACGTCAAAATGATTTCTTTGAAATTTTAAATGATGTTTTACAAGATCATCACAAATTTTAAAAGTCACAATGATTTAATTAAAACTACTGGAATAACTGATTTAATGCTCCTTTGTTCAGAGTCATGAGTTACTGATTGATTTTATTTATATGAACTCTATTGTATTCATTAACTAATTTACTGAACACTTTTTTTTTATTCATTAGCAGTCACATGTTTTAACGTCAAAATGATTTCTTTGAAATTTTAAATGATGTTTTACAAGATCATCACAAATTTTAAAAGTCACAATGATTTAATTAAAACTACTGGAATAACTGATTTAATGCTCCTTTGTTCAGAGTCATGAGTTACTGATTGCTTTTATTTATTTCTCCATTGGCACCACCAGAAGTGCACTTTTATTCGTTGATTAATTTATAACAAAAACTTGTAAATAATATTGTTTTAAATATTATTGTGGCATCATTCATAGTTAACTTAATCATTAATAAAAAAGTGCTAGGACAAATTGTAAACTGCCATAATATAATGTAATTAATTATAAATATGATGTTAGTAAAATTATAATTCTAACAATTTAACAAATTTGCATTTAAATTTTTACTAAAACTGATTTGACTAATCTAACTTTAAATGATAAAAATGAGACACTTT